CATTAACACCATGAGGTTATAAAAATTATAAAAAAGAAAGGAATTGATTTTAAATTGTAAACGTTTAATGTCGTTTCTATTCTTACAGAGAACAATGCAATTGTTTGTATAAAATCATAATTCTTGAAAATTGTCTTATATACATAATACCTCTAATAGTCTTATATACATAATACCTCTAAATAGGTAATAATTCAAAAGAGGGTAGATAATATTTTATCTACCCTCTTTTGAATAATTAATAAAAATACTAAAGACAATTCATCGTGCACCGACATTTATTTATATGACAAAAGAATATATATTATATTCCAGTTGCCTCGTTTATCAAATTAAGGTGTCAAACGTAAACAGGTTGCAGATACATATTTCTGTATTAGCACTAATTGCAATTAGACAAAGGCGTCTCTCAGTTGAGCCCTGTTATAAAAAGCAGACATTTACGACGTCCCCAATATTTCGTCGGACACCCCGGGAGAAACGGCTAGCCTCCGAGCTCAATTTTACGAGCCTAAACCTGATTAATAAAAGTCCACTCTTTCAGTGCAAAGGTAGATCTAGAGACATTTTATTTATTTGAAATGTAAACTGAGTACAAAACGTTTTAAATACATACTATAAATGAACGGTCAGCGCGGTACGGTAGTTATAAAAACGGAAAGTATTTATTTTTATCTGTGAAATCTTCAACTCTTTAAATACGACTCTTAAAACGCGGTAACATAGAGACGACCCGGGGCTCATAATTATAAAAGCTCTGAGCTTTCATTTCAATTCACTGGCAATGCACGAAAAATTATTAAGAGGTAATTTAGTTAAAGGAAACTAAAGCTTAACCGAAATTCATTCTTAATTTTTGTACAAAAGTCGGTACCCGAAAATTATTTAAGAAAAAATCAATTAGTGAAATAAAATTAGGCAGTTTAATGTTAACATTCAACAAGTAACCGAGAATAATATCAAAAGGTAGCTCAAATAAGAACCCAGCCCTTAAATCTCAAACATTTTCTAAAGTTTTAGTAAGTAGTCATAATCGAGGGTAGTTCTATCACAATGTCAAAAACGCTAAAAATATCAAGACACTTGAAATAAGCATATAGCTAACTAGATTCAATATTCTAAGTACATACCTCCGTTGCAGTGGTTGTCCCGGTTTAATTGCACTATTATTGTGGCGTGTTTGTCTGTATCGTACCTGAGATGAAAGGGCGAAATGTAATGAATATAATATACATATTAAGAAACAAAGGGGGGTCGGATATAAATTTGCAATAGACTCGCGGGCGCCCGTCAAAAATTTTCCTATTTGCCAGTCACAAGCTTAATTATTAAAAAACTGCGCAAAGTAAACTCACGAACGGCATCCAAAAGCGGCTGCCGACGCGCGCTACATTCGTTCGGCCGCCTTATCGATAACACAGAACCGCCCCTCAATTTATTATTTTATTCCGAACAGTAGTTATAATTAAGGTAACTTAAAACCTTAAATCGCCCTGTCGACTAGTAGATGGCTTGAGTATTTTTAAAGAGCATTTGTGACAAATTTTTATCGTGCCCCCAATTTTTAGAAGGTAAGCATTAACATTTTATTTATTGAATAAAAAACCAGCAGTACCTACTACTCACCGAAACTCTCGCAATAGTATTCTTCAGACATGTCACGTAGCATCGCGGCGCAGCCTTTGCGCGTCTACCCCAAATTATTTGTGAAAAGTTTTAAGTTATTTTTATTTTACGTAAAATTATTAGAAATCGTTTTTCTATTCATTATTAAATAATAGCTGCAGTCTAGGACTGAATTTCTATTTTGACACACGACGCTCGTCTTTCGCATAGGAGGTGGGTATTTTAAAAATAAAACCCAACTTTAATTTTAGAAAACGAGGTATTGCAAAGAATATAGCACTAATTTATACAATTGAAACGCGACAACGTGGCTGCGAACAATTCCGACAATGTGCTATGTGGCACACTCATTTTTTGGTATAATTTTAGGCTAGGCACGCAGCCCGTTGCGACGAAATCGGACGATGACGATGGAGGAAGCGCGTTTCGAAGATCGCCTCGGTAGATTTTCGTACAGTTTGAGAGTAAAAAATCGCTTTACTGGATACTATTTGAACAAGTATGGTGCAGAATAGTAATAATAATGGCGTCTGACGAAGCTCAAGCGACGCTCACGCCGGGTCTGGCCCATAGAGGGGGCGACTAGCGGACTATAACGACTTTTGATTGGTCGGACACGTTTCGTTCGTAATTCGCGATAGCCAAAAGAGCACCAAGCGAATAATAAAGACTCGTGATTGGCTGAACAAGTTGCGTCGGTAATTCACTGGATGGATTCCGGATGTTGCAAATGAACGACGATACGAATGCATTTCATATTTATTTTTATACTTTAAAAAGACTCCGATTGAGACTAGGCAACCGGTTTAACTTAAAACAAAATGTTGACGACAATTATACATATTCACTCCAATAACCGCATCTGTTCAAACACATTTAACAAACACGATTATGACCTTCAAATGCACTCGATTTTTATATTGTTTAAAAGAGAAACTACCGTTTGGGAATAGTTATCCACAGCGAAGAGATATTCGTTCTCTCATTATAACATACAGCTTGGCCAGACAGATAACTTTAACCTTATCTTTGGTAAAATCCTTGTATTCTAAAAAAGAAACCAGAAAGATTTCAAAAATTTCTCACATTTTTAAGTTACCAGGGTTGGTTCTCTAGTATTATTGGACTGTTTCTTTATTTAATAACTAAGGTTCAAGGGTCACGAAGTAAAACAAACAATTTACATAATATATATAACATATAAATTGGATACAAATACTATAAAGCGTCTCACATTTAAAACTGTTAACAAAAACAAACTGTTAATCGACAACATCCAAAGCTTAATATTCTGAACAATATAACGTCTTATTATCGTGCGTTGTTAACATGTATAAAATCAACACGAAGAGTAGAAAAGAGAAGAAAAAAAGAGAAATTTATGCAAAACAATACACGATAGAAAAGGCTACCTTTATATAAAAACTAAATTATTTCTCTTAAATTAAGTAAGCAAAATCGCACCAAAGTCCAACCTTTGGAAGACGATGTCACAATTGGCAAACGCTTAACAAACAAGATATTTACAGTTGAAGGGTCAACTGCGTTGGCAGAAATATTTAGCATTTAGTTTCTACCTTAACCGACAAATAGGAATTTCATAGAAAGCTTAACTTTACACTATAGAACACAATTCCTACGTGTCAAGTGGATAAGTAACAAAGAAATAGTGTTACCCACTTTATATATATAATAGTTTTCTTTGTTACACACAATTCAATTGATAAATAACATTCCCTACATATTTAAAATTTACTAACACACAGCCAAAATATTATAACGATTTAGGTAACATTGTAAAGAAGCGATGGAGGGCAATGTCTTATTGTCGTGAAACCGTTTAAATTTATTTTGCGTCTACATACATATTATTACATTCTATACACTGTCAGTAAACTTTGCAAACAATATTAATCTCGAGGATTTAAAATCCTAACCTTGTAGTGAAATAAATATATACAACCAACTTTAACGTAAATATCGCTTAATATCACTTAATTTTCGAGACACCTTTACATTTTTTGACTAGCAAATTGAAATGCTACAAATTTAAGATAGTTTACAAATTTCCACTACTTTGCCGTGAAGTTAGTTAATTCCATTCGTGATAATTTACAGTAATTTGGTCAATGATTTGGCGTAAATTAATGAAGTGACATTAGGACATATTAGTCACCTGCCCGGAACTAACTCTCGAGCGTTTAATACTTATAATAAAGCCCAAATAACGTATAACCCAATGTTCCACCCGATTCCCCAAACAGTAATCGGGTATACATTTGCGAACAGCGACATCTCTCGGACGATTATCAGAGATTCAGTAAAAGGTTACGACTATTTACTACTAATTAATAGGTAACAATGATTTTTCTTATTCTAATTTGCGATCGAGTACATACATATAATAAAATGAAAGATACGCAGGTCAAAAGACCTATACAAAATGAAAAATAGTACAAAGAGAGCAAACTACATTACTATATAACATATTAGATACAAAATCGTTAGGCAGTACATATTAGTCAATATTGGAAAATATATTTCTTAATTTATATTTAGAAGAGGCGTGATAGGTCGAGGTTATTCAGTTCTTCTCGACTTACATTAAAGATTCATTCGTTTGATATGAACAATAGTTAAGTACGAAAATAAAAATGCCTTCGAGACAAAGGAACTTATTCGTAGTCCTCGAGGACTGTTAAACTCTTGTAAAAGTACTGAAAATATGGAACCTTGTGCGTTAAAGGATTCGATTTGAATAACGCCTGTATAAAATATTGATCGTCACATAGACCATCATCACATAGTCGACTGAGTAACAATTTTCCGCCTGATTAACTTGTGAAATCTAGAGGTTGTATTAGCGCCGCAAATATCAAAATTGTAAAGCTGTCTAGGAACGACACATTTAAGGTTTTTGCTGTCCGAGATATTAATTAATTAATGGTAGATGTGTTTTTCGAGGAATTAATTTGATTTTTTGAGCCAAAGCTTCTTCTGTACTAGAACTTCCTTTAGAAATGTTCTGACACGATACAATATTAGGAAATTTATTGTTTTAGATAACGTTTATTAACTCTTTATCTGACGAGAAATTTTCACATTATCTTGTTACAATTTTGTTTTTGTATGCATTATATTGAATGACGCACCAGATTTTGTGATTTTTGTTTAAACTCACCCTCGAGTTAAATCTAATGGATTGTATACTATCGTTCTTAGACAGCGAGTAATCTTTGCCTTATGATAATATCTAAATGTACCATATCTTTCTTTATATATTTGACCTAGACCGCCGCGCCCCCCGCCCCCACTTCTGACTAACGTCGACGTTTTTTCTACCAGCTCTACCCGTGAGCGACGCTTCGCCTCCGCTAGACGTGTGCCGGAGGCGTCTTGTCTCTGGTCGGTTGTGTGACGCGCGTCGTCAGGTCCCTTATGTCCTGGTGCTCGCCGTGCGCGGCCAGGTCGAAGTCAGATCCGGAGAGCGTCGCTATGTGGTTCCAGTTGGAGTCTTCTGTATCACCTGTGTTTCATTAGCGTTTAGTTCACTCTATCAAAGACATACTGTCTCTGTAGTTTACGCTGGTGGTACATGTAATAAGGTAATATAACACTTTAACAGTTTAAACGCGTCTACCTGTGACCGCAGTTGCTGCAAAGCATCCGAAACGACAGGCCGTGGTTTAAATAAGTTTAACTAATACATTTCACGTTTTGAATTGTTAAAGTGTTTTATTTAAATCTTTTCAAAACACTGTTTTTCAAATATTTGATTAGATTCTTTATTCACTTAAAAAGCTTTCTTGGTAGGGGCCCAAACAGTGGGCACTATTCTCCACTTTCATAAGAGGTGTAAAGATTTGGCCCAAACCTTGAAGTCGCCTACTAACTACGTTGAAGCTTGTGTCGGTGCCAGACTGTAACCGTTAATAAAGCTTAACGTACAGGTTAATATGTGCGAGTTAATCTCATGCGTTTCTAATTAACTATTCTGAGGTGTCAGTTGGAATAATAGTACGATTATTAATAATTAGCGGTTACAACAGTTGTCATGCTGTTAAGATCGATTTAAAATCACTCACACTTCGACGAGGGCCCAACGTAGCGCTCGATCGACACGTCTAAGCTAAAAGTATGAAGCAAGAACATCACAGCAAAGGAATACAAATAAATTCCTTCCTTTAAGACGCAAACTAAGATGCCTTTTTGTGGCTTTTGAATCCACAAACTGTAGCGATATTCTTGCTTTAAAACGCTGTATCATGTTTAGCACACTGACTAGGCAACTAATGAAGGGGTAGATTGTAAAATTTCCTTTTTTTTTAATAAACGTCGACATAGGTCAATTGTTACAAGTTTAAATGATTATCAGGACTTTACATTTGATTTATGGGTTGGCAACAAGATTAGGGAGAGGGCAAAAGTACTTAAACTACGGCTAACACTAAAACACTCAGTAAAAACAAATTAACTTCAGCCAGTGTGTCAAAACACAACACAGAATTACCTGGAACTTGCTAGCTGCTTATCTTTGCTGTTTGACCGCAATACATACAAAATAGACGAAGTCATGTCACGCACTCTTAGATTGTGCCTAGTCACGCAAAATCTACGTACAGCCGTTAGCAGCAGCGAACACATTCCGCTGTTAGTGTGCACGCAAACATTCGACGCCTACCGTAACCCCGTAATCTAAACTCTGGTGTGACCTTGAGCCGTCCGCGGTGCCCTGGTCTCCGCTCCCGGCCTCATCCCCGTCCCGGAGTCGAAGCGACTCGTGAGCGGAGTCCTGGAGGCGAGGGAGCGCGCGCGCGTCTCTTCCATGATGAAGCTGTTGATGACGTACGCCTCGCGACGAATCCGGTCGCGCAGCTCACCAGACATGTCCGGGATCGCCCAGCGGACGATTATCATCACCAGGGCGACGACGTTCTGAAAGCGACAACTCAAATCTGTCAATTTCGACCGATCTTGCGAAGAATCAAATGACATAGATTTTTTAATACGCTGAAACTGCTTGAATAAATCATCTCAATCACACTAAAACTAGAAATTGTAGAATAATATACGAAATAGGTTATAATTATCACATACCCAATACTTTGTAGAAAGATATCCAAGACAAGATACAAATAGTGAAGCTTTGAGTTGGTACTTGTTGTTACTATCCCATATTCTCGATAACATATAGATAACGACTTGATAGTAAAAATTGATCACCTCAAAGACGACTACGAAGGCGAGGCGAGCGCCCATCACGTGCCAGTACCAGTTGGAGTGCTGATAGTCGTCGCCTTCACTGTACGACCAGTAGCCCGGGTAGCTGAAACATTCGGCGAGATCCGTCAATTGGATGTCATCGTCACAAATTTACAACTACCAAAATAGTAGTTAAAATTATTTTAACTACGGCCCGAGGTTTGACGCAATTGACTAAAATGTCACTAGGGAGGACGGCCAGTTTCGCCAAATACCAAATGCGACGGACCAGATAAGCTAGCGCTTAGCAGTTTTCACTTTGACATAAGAGACACTTTCCACCTTTGGTCTCTCTGTGACCACGGTTGCTGCAAAGCTTCCGAAACGTAGGGCCATAGTTAAAAACACTTCCAAATAAATTTAACAAATACATATCGCGTCTTAAACCATTAAAGTTTTTTATTTATATAGTATATAGTCTAATAGTAGCAGTACGTCATACAACTCGCACCTGCACGTAGTTCCCTCGTAGGTGGTCTTCAACGGAGGATGCTCCAGCACGGTCACGTTGAAGTCGGTCAGCGTATGGTTGACGTACTGGTTGAGCGTGCCCGTCGTGTATTTATAGACCAGTCGCGGGATGAAGTCCGACGTGAACGCTATTATGAAGCCCTGGAAAGTGTCAGGTACGATGTATAGAGTTATTTAGAAGTACAAGATTTATCTTCATCCTTTGGTTTAAATTTCTGGTCCTAGACAAGCCGGACTTTTATTAAAAACTTTATGTAAAAACAAATAAAAATCTTATACGAATTACGTTAGTGATGATGCTGAGTTTGCCTATAGAGTCCAGTATGCGGTACCAGACGCCGATGTCGTTGACCCTCTGCGGCACCGGGCGGCGGTAGCACGAGAGGAACTTGGACGCGTCCAGCCTCATCTCCAGCACGTTGTTGATCAGCGCGAACAGCGGCGCCAGCGGGAACGCCGCCACGAAGATCGTCACGAACCCGTACTGTAACACTGATCGCACACAACATTTAATGAGGATGGTCAAGCTTAGGGTTAACTGTGTGGTAGGTGAAATACCCCAGCCATATAACATCTTCACTAAATTCGCTGTCCACAGACTGAAACCGAAACGCGATTAAACTTCACGATTTTAACCTCTGGACGGAATTTCAATATCTTCACCACTCATTTCCAGACGAAGACTAACACGTTCCAGAAAAATTATAAAATTATTAACAACATGTGATTAGAACAACCAGTCCTTAAGAGATAAGGTGTAGAAACTTCTCTTACCCATTTCTAAGTATTCCGGAAACAGTCCCATGTTTCCAAAGTCAACGAGCTTAAAGTCCTTTACCCATTGGAGGGAGCTCTTGATCCTAAAATAAGAGTTCGTTATGAGAAATAGAGTCACGTCATTATGAGAACTATTATCAACCATTAAAGTGACACATACGTGTTTTTCCTCCCAATAGTGCGAATAATATTCCACCACTTGAGGAGGTAGGGCATCATCATCTCCACAACGGTGTTTATGAACTGCTTTCCTACCATTATAATGGCGAGTTGAATTGACAGTTCTAAGAAACACCCACCAGGAGAGCACTAGAACAAAGATTTTTTATAAGTAAAGTGTATACATCTCATTTATCGTTATCTGTGGTTATACAGTTGTCATCATATTGACTTCTGTGCACGCTGCATAATGACTGTAATAAAGTGAGAAATTATATACCGAAGGAAACAATAGATTTCAATGTTGTTTCTGTTTTTAGCTGTAATGAAGGATTAAATTAGAAGCAAAATATCTCTTCAGAGCCTCCACAGTGTTAAGCGAGTAATTCGTTACTACCTCCTCTTGTCTCTGCTCGAAGAAGCGCATGTAGCCCCCCGGCCGACCCACAAATTTGCCCTTGAAGAACGCTATGTAGAAGATCGACGCGTAATAGTTCACGAATTGCAAGAGATATATCTTAAGAGTCAGCGAGTCGTCGAACTCGGTCTGCGTCCGCAACAGCTCCTTCTCCGTCAGCCACTCAGCTAGGAATTGGTAAATCTGGAAAGATAGTGAGGAATAATCAGTATTGCAAAAAAACGCATGAATCGTACGTATGAGTCGTAGGGATTGTTGGATAGGTTGCGGTAACACCTTAGATACGAAATGAAAGGCAACACTTACGTAATTGAAAATACAGATGAAGACCAGATTGATGCAAGCAGCAGTCGCGGTAGTGAACATAATAGGACTGTACGTTATCAGCAAGTTTTGGTCCTGCTCGCGGAAGATCGACGCTCCCAAGAGCGACATTCTGTAGAGGACTACCCCGAGAACCGTGGCGAGAGCCAGCAGCACCAACAGCGCGACCACGCTGAACGACATGAGCGTAGCCGGGAGGCGCATGCGCCAGAACGGGACCATCGGTTCTCTTTCACCGGTGACCACATTTAGCTGAAAACATAATAAAGAAATAATATACTTTGGAGAAATAGAAGAAGACGTTAGTGTAAATAGGAGATTCACCTGTGTGCGTTTGACATGCGCAAGTCGGGCAAGGTACTGCGGCCGGGGGTGCTCCTCGTACACGTCGAAGCCCGTCAAGTCCCACCGGTGAGTCATCTCTGCCGAGTACCGCTTCCACAGCTCCAGGAAACAAGCCGCTGTAACAATCAACTTTTATATATTATGGACTCTATGTTTGAAGTACTGTTAACTGCTTAAACTCTCCTATTGCTAGACTCAGTCCTACAGATTTAGTGGCCTAATCGACTTCCCGTGACTGACCGATTAAGACACATTCATTCAGTACACTTTGGATACAAAAGAAAATAGACCCAAAAATACAGGAATTAAAACACAAAATCCTTTTAAAAAATTATGTTACGTTTGGACGCAAATACACGTCCAAGGCATGTAAGGGTAAAATTTTTTCGGGCGCAGATCTATGTCTTAAGCACACGAGAGGTTAATTATTGACAAATTTTATATAAATTTAATAATTGCTTTCATTTCTTTATTTCTTTGTCATATTTATTTTTCTTCGCTATATTCATCTATAATTGTTCTTCACAACGTGTGGCGTCTTATATATAACTTTTTTGTTGTGAGAATAACGTGATAAATACTGTAACAATGTACAAGTCGAGTACATAATGTCTCTCTCTCTCTCTCTCTCTCTCTACTTGCTCCGCTGCCTCGTACGCGAAACTTTCGACTCACCCCAAAAACTCATGAAGATCGCGAAAAATACCGTAGTGGAGTTGTCGAAGAGGTAGGTGATGCGGGACTGCAGGCACGTGGCCTTCAAGTCCCAGAAGTCGCAGTGGAAGTCGCACTGCGGACACATCTTTATGGTCGAGTTGTAGTTGCACACCTCCTCGCTATTGACAAAGAAAACGAGATGTATTTCATTACGGTTATATGGTTGGCTGTATGTAGCAATGTATGACTTCGTTTTGGTTCGAATTAGAGTGCGTCTGGGTCATCTGACTATTAAATGGGTGGTGTCAAAGCTTCATCCAGATCACGAATTCGTACGAAATTTGAAAGAATTCGTACCTCGGTGTATTGGAATAAACGGTAGCAGCCGAATATATGACACAGATGAGTCCCACCAGCGAAGCCGGGATGAGCATGTGCGTGTAGAAACCGAGCCACGCGAAATATAACCCTGAAAAGACGGTTGAAAACTTTAATTCAAGTGTTGAGGCTGAAATCAGCCTCAACGCTTGATGTTATTAAATTGTTATTATGATGTTAGTAAAAGAGGTAATTCGAACCGATCTTCACTCCGAAGTAATCCTTTACGTAGTCGAGAGGTTGATACTTGATGCATTTGGAGATGCTCGCCCACTCCGTGTACAACAGGTGACGCATAGAGCCCGGGGTCTTGAGATCGCCCTGGAAAAGGAGATATATAGATGGTATTAATGAGTCCTGCTGAACTTTAGCTTTAAATAAACCTTCATCTAGACTGATATGTAAAGCTTAATAGTTTGTTTGTTTGTTTGAACGCGCTAATCACAGCGCCTACTGGTGAGAATTGAAAAATTCTTTCCGTATCGGTTATAGCTTTTATCGAGGAAGGCTATAGGCTCTATAAAACATCACGCATCAACTGAAAGGAGCGAAGACAGCGGGAATTTAAAAAAAAAAAACGGGGGAAATGAATCATCTTTATGGGTTTCCGTTGGGTTAAAAATATGTATGAAAGATGATCTCTCTTTAGATGATCTAAAAAAATGTCCGGGACACTCTATGTCGCGACAGATATCGTAGATGTAACCTTAAATCTATAAAGATGAAGCCGAGGTTTCCCGATAGATAAATAGGTTTTATATAAAATGTAAGGTAAAGACTAACGTCATGTAGAGGATAAGCCGCGCTGTACACGTTGTTTGCGATGAGCCTGGCGACACCGAAGGCGAAGTCATCTGTCGGCGAGTTGGAGAACTTCTTCCGGTCGAGGATGAATTGGACTATTCGAGACCGCACAGAAGGCGTCCAAAAGCAGTCCGATGTCGTGTCAAATCTAGGTGAAGTCGTGCAAGTTTAGCGAGATGTTCCAATATGAGTCTAGTTTGCTTCAAATAATTTTAAATATATGATTATGATTTAAAACGCAAAATTTATTAAAATATATATTATAAACAGATGGCGCTAGCGTAGTAGTTTATTACTTTGACATTAGATACACCCTCCATCTTTAGTCTCCCCGTGACCACGGCTGCTGCAAAGCAACCGAAACGTTGTGGCATAGTTGAAATAAATTAAATAAGTTTAACTAACATATATTTAAAATATTATAATAGTCTAGTGCGTAAAACGTAATATTTAGATTTTTCTCATTTCTTTAGTTATTTAGCAATATCACTCACAAATATTCCTTATCCTTGGAATAAATGGCAGTAAGGCGGTGTTTCCTTTCGGGGAACAAGGTGGGGTCGACTCGTATGTTGGACATGATCCCGTCCCACCACTCGTCCATGCGGTCCAGGAAGGAATTCGTTTTCTCCGGAGCGTCTTTCAAGGCTGAAAACTGCAGGGACCAATATTTTATAAACGTCTTAAAACTGAATATGTCACAATCTTAAATCTACTTTTTTTAAAATTTCTATTCTCAGTATGACAGTGCCGGATTACAGTTTATAGCATTAATATGCGCACGCGCAGTAAATACATATATAGATTTTCCAACATATTCTGCTATAAGGCAATCTATTAATTCTTTAATTAATCTGCAAAATATTATTTTTGTTCTTTCGTCAAATTAAATCTAATTTTTTATAATATTTTTGTGATAATAAAGTTTTTTTGTTAGTTTGTTTCTTTGTTCTTCCATATTTTTCTTTATTATGGTGAAGCGTCATATCGATCTGTCATCAATGGACAATAGCTGGCGTTAAATGTGCATTTGTACTTACAACGAGCGAATTCATCATCTCTTTACAGAAACGACTACGTTATTGTGTGCAATGGTGAAACGGTTATATCAATGCAGAGGATAAACTCTAGACAGGGCATATAGATATTGATGTGATGTACATACACACTGATCGGATATATAAGCTATTTCTGCAGTCGGGATTAAGAATGGTGTTGCGCCGCGCCATCTTTCTCAAACACTACCTCCGATCGGACCGAAGACAAAAAGCCTTACACAAATGAATAACATACACACCCACACGAAAGATGGTACCAATTTAAAGACAGAAATTGAGGAGTTTAGTATTCCTTAGATGGGCGTATTAGCTTGTTAAGATAAAGTTTAGTACTAAACACAAATAAAAATATCCAATGTTAGCATTAGTCTAGCATAAGGCTACATGAGAACTGCCACCACAGAAGCAAGCAGAAGCCGTGTTAGCAAAGCGTCGTGAGCACGACAGCTGCCTACCTTGGACATGTACAAGGCAGCGCTCAGTATCGCATTCGTCCGGCCCCCCCTCCGTATCTTACTGCAATCCTAGTGAACGTACCTTCCATTAACACAATTCTAACTAACAGCGCCGCGACTGCGCGATGTATCCGCTCCCGTAATTCAGTGCCCAGTAGAAAATTTTGCACTTGAATGACATTATTAAAAAAATAAGCTTTAACATAATATATACTGTAATGCGTCATAAAGTTTAAGTTTTTATATCAATGTGCCCACGTTGAACAGATTGCGTAATAAATGTTTTTTTTTCATGCATATATATCAGACCTCCTCGTTTGGTCGTGAGAAAATCGCTTCTCAATATATCGAGGTGCAATATTTAATGTCAATCACTTAACACACATTTAAACATGTTGTGTGCTATGGGCATAAATAAGGTCGGATACATCGTCAAACTACAACGATAAATCTACAAAATTTGTGCAAAAAAACAGTGTGAAATAATAAAAAATATTATAATTATTAATATGATTTAAGCCGACTCTCACCTTCATGGGCATCCTGAGTTTCAATACCTCGCTGTAATCTCGAAGAACTGAAAGCGGGGCGTGGATCTACAAAAATAAACCAAAACATATACTTTTAACGATTCTTATACTTTGCGAATTGCGAACATTTTTACTGTATTAAAACAGCGTTTATTGCGTCTACGAAAAGCCGAGCGACGAAGACGTCGAAACGACGAGAAGGGCGAAGCGACATTCGCATTTCCTGGCTGGCTCCGATTCATAATTTCGTTCGCGCTTCGCTTGACTTGACCATTACATTCTCGAAAAGCTGAAGCGTACCTTGATGAAATGTAGTCCGTGTAGATCCGGCGGCGCCTCCCTTTCCAGGTGCAGCCCTTCGTTCTCGAGGTTCTCCTCGAATATCTTCCTCTGCTCGTACGCTTCCCGAGTGGTCGCATCTTCCTTGCCGGCCTCCCACACCAACACGAAGTCCACGGAGCGGACGCCGTCGTTGAAAGACAAGGAGGGGTTGTTGAGAATTCCGCCCATAACAATTCTGTGGGGGCGATATCGTTATTTAAAATTTTTATTACTAAACTCTCAAGCAGAAGGGGCAAAAACAGTGATTATTGTAAGTGCATTTGTTAGCATGCAATGCCAAGTTAAAACTTAAAGACAGTACTTCCTCGCCACCCCACAATATAAACATTGAGACCACCACAACAGCACGGACGTGCGACGGATGTGATACACGGACAAATGACACTTCTTTCACAGTGGATGTTTGTTGGGTGGATCGTTAAGAAAAAATAGGCACATACTGAAAGATGGTATGGTAATTTTTTGTCGGTTTGGTTCAAGTGCGAGATGCGCCGTGACGCCGGCTGACGTGTGGTACTCACGAGCAATGGTTGGCCGGTTTGCTATTATTGTTGGCCGAATCGGGATACGACGGACCGCACCCGCACTCTTCGGCGGGACGCGTCGACGCCTCGCTGTCGTCCCTGCAATTGAAAGCGGGGTGCCTTCACGAACGACGACTTTTACGTTGCTTTTTGCATAAGACGTTACAAGTATTAATGTTAGTATATTAGAGTATACATTATTTTTTTAGTAGGAAGGAGATAATTTCCGCGAAAATTCACCTGGACTTTTGTTAGTTATATTATTTTTTGAAAAACCCAACAGTGATCCACAATACAGCGTGGTTCAACTATCGCAGGAAGTGCAAATTAATTGACGTCATGCAATACACATGTACACACAAACATAACATACGTTTTGAATAAATGGCAGGTTAACGCCCCAAGATAGTCGACGAGGTCGACATTTGTGGCTCACGTCCCAGGGAGACCACGTAATGGTATTCACCCCCCTTTTTAATTAAATAACGAGTTTATATTATGCCTATATACAATGGCAATAAAACGACTTCGCCCCTACAACGATCGCGGTGGAAATGTATGTTTTTCATTAATTAATTAATTGATAAATAAAATATAATAAGCTTCAATTTAATTAACATAGGTATTATATTTTTATTCTGTCGTTACCCACTACATTTTATGAGATATTTCCGAGCCGAAACAGTTTGTATCAATGTTTTGATGTCTTATGATAAAAAAGGACAAAACTATAACACAACGACTGATCTGGAGCCTGTACCACAAATGTGTGCCACCGAGATTCCTCACTTACCTCTCAGTGTTCATGTCCTGGGACAGATTGTCCTGGTATGTGCTGAGGACAGACATGGCTTGGAAGTCCGACAACTTCCCTTGATTCTCCTTCTCCCTCTGGCCCAAACAATACAGTTACATCAGATACATATCTATACTAATATATAAAACTGAAGAGTTTATATGAACGCGCTAATCTCAGGAACTACTGGTTCGAATTGACAATTATTTTTGTGTTGATTTATCGAGGAATGCTTTAGACTATAAAACATCGCTCTGCGACTAATAGAAGCGAAGAAACAGCTGATAATGTGGAAAAAACGAGGTAAATTTTTCATCTCCGCGGTTTTCCGGTGGTAAATGGTACAAGACAATAGAATGAATCCGCTTTAAATAATCTAAAAAACCACCGCGACACTATATGTCTATCTTTTAAGATTAACTTGCAAGAACGACGGGACTCGAACGATGGGTCGCGAGCGACGGCACGCAACCGATGTCGTGGGTTACAAGCTTAAATTTATAAAGATGAAGAGGAGGTTTGCAAAAACAAATTTGGATGCCCAAAATAAGTAATCTACGTGGACTTTAGGACCTCTACGAATTAGGTTGATAATACAATGTCCCATTATTTAGCTAAAAATGTAGCTGTTCTGTCTCATTGACCTTATAAAATAGTAATGAAGCCGTTTGACGTAGGTACAAGTATTGGAATGTATTTCATTAAATCTATCAATCAATATTGCTGTATCTGTTAAACGAAAGATAAAAATTCAACTGACTGACTTTAATGATTGTAAAGACAAAACTGCACAATATTCTATTTGAAATAAAGTTATGTGCATATAAACATTATGATTTGATCAGTTCTAGCTTCCAAACAGGACGCAATGAGAAATAAAATAAAACACTTTTAACGGTCATAGAAAGACTGAGGCTGCTGCAAAACATCGCCAACTTCGTGCCGTAGTATTCTAATTAAGTTAACTACTTAATACATTTCGCTTTTTAAACCGTTAAAAGTGTTACCACTAAAACCGCGCACAGACAATATTTAATATGAATCAAGATTATATCTTAAAGGTCATATACCTAATGTGTAGATAACAAAACTCATTGTGTTTAAAGTAATTAACAATAAGATAGGTATAATTTATATGAATCGCGTCTTATTCTTAAAAAAAAAGATATTACAGTGACTACCAAAAATAATTGCCATGCTTTGGTTTTTAGAAGAATCACTTCAGAAATACATAACAGCCATATATACATTATAACACGAGGACCTACGACGCATCCGTGCTCTGAAGATCCTAACACTTCCCACATCGTGTAACACATAACACAAAACATCCACAATACTTCTTGCTATCATTACGTGAAGAAACTGACTAAACACATTTGTGGGAACTTACTGACCTTGGTTTAACTGCAAGACTGATTCATCCGTATTTGATTAACACTTTACCGCGACTGGTCTTCTACGTATTTTTTTCTACACCTAATCTCAGATCTTTTATCTTCAGTGATAAGAGAGATTCGATCACATGAAAAAAGTAAACGACAATCGGCAATGTTGCTTTCTTGAATGATATTTTTTAATTTATGTGATTGTATATTACTTCAGACTATATTGACAAGGACTTAAGCACATTCTCTTGGTATAAGTTACTGTCACAGGTAATTTCGTAATATAATAGATTTTATTACACCTTGAAAAAGTGTGAAAAAAAATACATTTGCAACACCAGAGACACATTTAAAGTAACTTATCTTCATTAGTAAACTGTCTTGGCATTTGCTTTGCCAACAATAGTAAAATCTATATTGACTTTATGCCTTGGAAACTTCTCTGTGTTGTGCTGATAAGAAAGAACATTTAACTTGAGTAGAATACAATTCATTCATCAATCAAATACCTAAGACCTTTGATTTTTGTTATCAATTAGACAATGTTTTAATAAAGATTAATCCAAAAGAATTATCTAAGCTGTTTTGAAATTTAATCATTAATGGTTTATTAATTTAATGTTTGCAGTTTGTCCTTAAATTTTAGTTTTTTCTATTTATCATCAACATACAAATAGAAAAATGAATTAGTCAATAGACAGTGTGGACTGATTTCTAGGCTTTCTATAAAACTCATCTTAAAACACTCCCAGGTGAATATCAGACCTAAGCTAAAAAGCCGATCTTCTGAGTCATGTAAAGTGTCTGTTTAGTCACATCTGCATTTGCTTGAGGAAAATATCTACAATTTAACACCATTACTATATACATATAAATAATAATAATATACATATAAATATAAAGTACCCAATATAATTAACAATATACAATTAATTAATATAAGAATATAGATGTAACGGAATATATATGTTGAGATATTTTCTACACTCTAATACAACATGTTTCAAACAAACTGTAAACAACATTATCTAAACTATATAAGAATTCCTCCCATAAGCAAAACAAAAATGAAAGAAACTCTTGAGCCAAACTTTAAGGGAGAATTATAGGCCAGGACATCAACTTACCTCGAGAAAGTCTTCATCTCCATTTTGGAACAGCTGTTGGAAGGCAAGGTCATTGCGCTGGACGTCTGAGAGGAAGGATTCAGTCTCGGCGGAATCTATGTGCTTATGGTGCACTTTTACAGTCCCCGCAAAAAGAGGTGTACTTATTTTAGGCGTAAATACATTTTCTTCTTTTCTTTCTGATAGCGTCTTAGGTAAATCTTCTTCGAGAGACGGGTCGCCGTCAGACATTCCAAACAGGAGAGAGTTTTGCAAGAAAGTTGAACCCTTCACAATAAAAGTAAACTTTGTTTAGACATCCTAACTAGGCTTCCACAAATCCGTAGGTAATCCGCACGATTAGTCACCAGATTTTCAAAAGGTCGTACAATTTGTAATTTCCAAAAGTGAAAATATGTTTTAACGTAGGCTTACTGAGTAAACGTTATAATAATACAAATATATTCACTAAAAGATGATGCTATTTATTTACTCTTATAAACTAAAACGTGATTTTATGCTGTATTAATATTATTATTGTCCTGTCTCCCCAGACAGATCCACTGAGCAAATAGCCAAATAAGTGGTTTCATCCGCAGACTTAACAACATTGCTGACTTCTGACAACCTATGAGTACAGTAAAAACCGATACAGATACATCAATGATATACATATTGTATATGAAAATATATACAATATGTATATTCTAGAATTTAGACAATCTTTCAGAGACTTCTGAAAGCCGCAGATAGTAATTATTAGTCTGCATTTTACTTCCTACGTCAGTGGCTCATATACTCAGTTACTCTTGCCACCATGTCTAACAATGTCTAAAGGCAAAGAAATCTTCAACGGTTTTGTCGTTGCTGCTCAACATAATATTATATTGTACCTAACCGTAAAAATATCGAACATATTTAATATATACTAATGATTATGGTATTATATTACATTTAAAATTATCATTATTTTAAAACAAATGACGCCTTTTATCTATAAAATTGTGTTATCTGTTTCTAGTGAACATTTCCCCAGTTGCCACGCCACTGTTATTTGTCAACGTCAGTAGCTTTTCGGCAAACACGCTTCAAGTAGTTGTGTCGGCTAATCCTTATTTCTTACTAGGTTGCCGGCAAATTATTTTCAATTCATTCAAATCTATCCTTCTTTATCCATGTGTGTCTACTAAGAAAATACTAAACTAACAATTTATAATAACCCGGTCAACCATGACTGTCGATGCGCAAAACAAGGCTAAAATGCCGCATCTCTCGTCTGATAAACAATTAACATTTATAAAACTAGCTGTTTTATCAATGGCAGCGATATTATGTGAGTACAAACTTATATTTTCTAATTATCTTGTGTTTTAAACTAAAATTTTGTGATTTGGGACGTGTTTACTTAAGATATATACATAGAGGTTCTTGTTCCATTGGCATTTCTCTTTTTTGTAAAATCATAACTTTACATTTTCAACGAAATATAACGAGGTATTTATATAATTTTAATATTAAGGTTACTATATCAGCATTTAAATAATATTGCTTGTTTATTGCTACAGAGTGGTTCTACTTTTGTATAATGTTGCTTGATAATTGTATTTTTTTTGTAGCATTTGCAACTCGACTCTTTTCGGTACTACGCTTTGAGAGTGTAATTCACGAGTTTGATCCCTACTTTAATTATAGAACAACACGATACCTCACTGAGGAAGGATTCTATAAATTTCATAATTGGTTTGATGATAGAGCATGGTATCCTTTAGGGAGAATTATTGGAGGTATGTTCATTGTTTGAAGTTGTAAAATAATTTATGTCTGCTTCTAATGTATTTTTAGACCAGACTATATTGATGTAAGAAGAAAGTAATTATTATTTTCTATTGGGGACACGATATAGAAGGCCGGGTGATCAGTCCACTTTATCTGCTGAATATTTCACACACTGCCTAACTACATAGTAAATACCTGGCATTTGATAATTTCAAAGGATAAATAATAATAATAAGGTAATGTAATTCTTATAAATACTAATTTTTGTTCATTTTTCATAGGTACAATCTACCCCGGTCTGATGGTGACATCAGCCACTCTGTACAACATAATGCAATTTTTTAATATTACCATTGATATAAGAAATGTGTGTGTTTTTCTGGCACCGTTTTTCTCATCTTTGACTACTATTGTCACGTATCTTTTAACTAAGGAGCTTAAGGTAAGATTTAAGAAGTTATGTGTAAGAACAAACAATTAATTAATATATTGTATGAGTGTTAACTGATTTTATCAAACAATTTTGTATACAGCTACTCTATATGTTAAGAAAATGTATTTAATCATTTGATATGTTAAGGATGAGGGTGCGGGTCTAGTGGCTGCAGCTATGATAGCTATTGTTCCTGGGTACATAAGCCGTTCTGTTGCCGGCAGTTATGACAATGAGGGAATAGCAATATTTTGCATGTTGCTCACATACTACTTCTGGATCAAAGCTATCAATACGGGCACAATTTTGTGGGCTACTATGACAGCTCTTGCCTATTTCTACATGGTAATTTTTTTAATAGGTTTGGACAACTACAAAATTTATTAAATTATTGATTGACTTTCTAAAGAGTAAGTCTTATCTCTTAACATAAATATGCAAAGAGAAATAAGCCAATCAAACATTATAAAGATGAAAGCTTCACACTGATAAGTTTTTCATAATCTTGTGAGTTTTTGCTCTTTTGTACAGACGTTGATATAAAATAAAAGAACATCTAAGCTTGCAAACAATGTTTGAATATAGTGCTATTTAATTCATGTATGCTTTCAGGTATCCTCATGGGGGGGCTACGTTTTTCTAATCAATCTGATACCTCTACATGTACTAGCTCTAATGGCTCTTGGTCGCTTTTCTGCGCGAGTGTACGTTGCTTACAGTACCTTGTACTGTGTTGGTACTGTACTGTCAATGCAGATCTCATTTGTTGGATTTCAACCAGTACAGAGCTCGGAGCATATGTTGGTAAGATTTTTACGTTCATGGCCCTTTTTCAATGTTTTTTTGTAAAGTAAACTGATTTTTCGAGTGTTTAATAAATATCTTATATCCAAAAATAGGCTCTCGGCACGTTCGGTTTGTGCCAGTTGTACGCCTTCACACAATACTTGCGCGAGCGCCTCTCTCCACAAAACTTCGAGTTACTATTCAAAGCTTTACTTAGTACACTGCTAGTTACTCTAGGAACTGCAACGGTTCTCTTTACAGTCACCGGTAAGTTATTACTTTTTGTCCACGGAGTAAAATAGTGTTTGCCCATTAAAAAAATATATATATTTGTTTTAGGAAAAATTTCCCCATGGACTGGCAGATTTTATTCTCTGCTTGACCCATCATACGCTAAAAATCACATTCCAATTATTGGTAAGTATACTGTACATCTTTTAAATTAAAGTAAGAAAGAAGCATTTAAAGATACATTTGGACGAATATATCCTGGGTGTTAAGATAGAATAACACATTTCTTTTTTAAAGCGTCTGTGAGTGAGCACCAGCCGACTTCATGGTCTTCATTCTACTTTGACCTGCAAGTGTTGGTCTTCCTCTTTCCTGCTGGTCTCTACTTCTGCTTCACAAAACTGACTGATGCAAACATCTTCATTATTCTATATGGTGTTCTTAGTATTTACTTTGCTGTAAGTACATAGATGTAAACTGAAATATTTTTTAAATAACACTCAAATGATGAAATTAGGAAGCTTGAGCATGTCGAGACAATGTCGAGTACTCTCCATTGTATCTGTACAATGATGTTTACACTTTGATCGCTGATGTGGTCTTACTTTTGTTATGCAAATGAATGAGTAGGAAACGTCTCACACTCTCTTCCTTCCCCAGGGCGTTATGGTGCGTCTGATGTTAGTACTCGCGCCCGTTATGTGCATCGTGTCAGGTATTGCTGCATCTAGTTTGCTCAGTCTTCATGTCAAAGATATTGAACCAAAAGTGGAAAAATTGGAGAAGAAAAAGAAGCATGAAAATAATTTAGTATTCAGATCAGAGGTAAGCAATATGGCTTTATAATTCCAAAAGATTCTGATAATGTCATCATTAGTATAAGGATATAAAGAGAATATAGAGATATAAAACACATACAAGGCAGGAACTTTGGATGGGAGCAGTTTTTTCTCTATCATATATTGATCATTATATAAATGATGTCACAATTTAAATTAAGAGATATCTTGTACGTTGGATTGGATCATTAGGTAGGAGCCGTTTTCGTCTGTGTCCTTGGATGTTTGCTGGTTTCGTACGTGTTCCATTGCACGTGGGTGACGTCAGAGGCGTACTCGTCTCCATCAATCGTGTTGTCTGCGCGGGCGCACGACGGTGCTCGAATCATTTTCGACGACTTTCGGGAAGCTTATACTTGGCTCAAAATGAACACTCCACAGGTATGTCCTCTTAAAATGTTTATGCCTGTATTACTCTCACAAGAAGTACGAGTTGTTTCGAAAGAAATGTAGAATTAGTGACCCTAATAATTCACATGGTTGAATTCTTCTATTCTATTCTGATTTGTTAGAAGATAATATTTGTTATTTTTTAGGATGCAAAAGTGATGTCTTGGTGGGATTATGGCTACCAAATAACGGCTATGGCTAATCGAACGGTAATAGTGGACAATAATACTTGGAACAACACGCACATTTCGCGTGTAGGACAGGCGATGGCTTCCACCGAGGACAAAGCGTACGAGATCATGCGAGAACTAGACGTAGATTATGTTCTGGTCATCTTCGGAGGACTCGTGGGATACTCTTCGGATGGTGAGTGCCTTTTTTTTTTACTAGGGTTATGACTGACAGCTTCAGTTACCCGAATTATTTTCACACATGTGGCATGAGTTTTCAGTTTTTCATCGTCGTCATGTTTTTTATGTAAAATAAGAAAATAAATCAAAATTCTAGTTTATCTTATATCATAGCTCTCATTATTGTACCCAGGAATAAGTTCGGACTATTACTCATAGTATACCCAAATTATCTTGAAATTGAAACGTTAGTCTTCCACAAGATATAAACAAGTTCCTCTGGATGGTGCGTATCGGAGGCAGCACGGACCGCGGCGCCCATATCCGCGAGGCGGACTACTACACCCCGAGCGGGGAATTCCGGATAGACGCGGACGGCTCCAATACTTTACTCAACTGTCTCATGTACAAGATGAGCTACTACAAATTCGGGCTCGTGTACACAGAAGGAGGTATGTGCAAAGCTCCACCGACCGAGGGGTTGTGTGACTGGATTCAAACTATACGCTTCCTTGAATACAATTTTAATTAAAGCGCTATTACTTTATAGGTCGCCCTCCTGGCTTCGACCGGGTGCGCGGGGCAGAAATAGGTAACAAGGACTTCAACCTCGAAGTATTAGAAGAGGCCTACACCACGGAACACTGGCTGGTGCGCATCTACAAAGTTAAACCGCTGCCAAACCGTGGCCTATGAGGAGACAGTGGAAATAATCAATTAGTCACATAGTGAAAGGTTCAGGATCATATAGCAATCATAATTGACCATACATTTTTTATAATTTACCGCTATTTACACCCACAATGAGCTGCATTTTTACTCACCTAATCATATAACTACTGCATTTATCTGAGATCAAGGATAATATGAACTAATTAAAATATGTATTACTAACTGTACATTATTAGTGAGCTACTTGTAGCTAATGCCCGATATCCATTGGGAGTCTGTTTAGGCTTTATGATTTTAGTAACATTTCCAAAAAAATTACACGTGAAAAGATGGCTAAATCTGGCCTGAACTATGTTCTCGCTCTCTTATTCACATGAGTCACAAATAAGACTATGTCTACTTTGAAATTCATTCAAGTTTTATTTATTGGAGTAATCTTTGAAATTTCAGTGCGCACAAAATGTAGATTGTAATTTACTGCATGTTTTACCAGAAAAGCCGATGAAGCTTTTTACTTAATGAATCAATTTTTATTATTATTGTCAACTATGTGGTATTTAGTATATATGATATAGAGAGTTGTATAAATTCATTTTTAATTTGAAATATAAAAACTATTATTAAATTATCTTTTCTCTTATTTAACACCCACACAACATAATTTAACAAAAAGGCCAAACTCTAATGTGAAAGCAAACAAAGTACTTATTAATCCAGCCACTCACTATTATAGGACTACACTTAATATTATTGCAACAAGTTTTATGTTATCCAATTTTACAAAATGAGAAGGCAATTATTTTTCTATGCATATTATTCCTCTTCACCTTGATCGGAACATTCATCTGGGTGAAAAGTATCGTCATTGTTTGGATTCCTATTTGGATGTACTCGTTTCGATCTAACCGGTGTTGTCTTAGTTGTTTTTAGCTAAAAATAATACATTTGTTATACTTAAACAAGAATAATAACTATTGCAATAATAATTGAATAAAATTGTATATAAACCTGTTGAACTAATTTCCACAGACCAGTGTTATTTATAAAGGTACTTTTGAAGGCTTTGTGTAGAGGTTTCTTCTTTAACATTACACATTGTTGCTGTAAACTCTCTAGTCCCTCTGACAGATCTGTGTAACACGAGTTTTAAATTATTATAGTTTTGAATATTTGAAAATGAAATTAATATTTTTTACATGTTATTGCACACGAAGGCACCATATAATTTAAAAATCGAAAATAAATTGAAAAAATTTTAGACTCGGGCAGGACTTGAACCGGCATTGTCAGCGTTCAGTGCTGTTGCTCTACCAATTGAGCTACAGAGTCCTACACGGTTATAGTTATGAATAGTTATTATTACAAATCAACAACATAATGATTTCATACTGTCACCAATGAACAAGAACTTCTTAGGCCTTATGTCCTGAACCCTATAATCTAATACGAGTGTTACTCGAATCTCCACACAGTCATCTTCTGCATTTTGCAAAGAGAATGTAGCTTCAATGTGAGATCCATCCAGATTCCTGAATAATATTCCATCTACTGTAAGAAGATTCTGCAATTAAAATGTCATTTGAAAATGAATATATCTGAAATCTGGCTGGTGTAGTGGTAGCAATGTACAGCAAATGATCAAGGGGAGGACCCCTGTATCCAAATATGTTAGTCAGGAGACCAACATATTTGGAAAACTGGATATTAATAGAGTATTAGAAATTTCTAAATTAAGTCCAGATCACAAACAAAACCATCCACAGACAAAAAAGCCATGAAATTAAATTTCATTTTCTAGATAACCAAAAGCCAAAATAGGCTGACAGCACAACTTGTTTATATGTTATAAGGCTATGGTATTTCACCTTCCATCAAGTGAAATCTTTATTTCTTTATCTTTCCTCCTTTATTATAAAAATATTAGCAATCATATAAATTGTATTTTTAAAATTAACCTGTAATTCCTTAAATTGCTCGAGTCTATCATAGTAGGCTAACAAAGCTGATTGCACAGCTAGAAGATATTCCGGTTTCAACATGTTTTCATAATCATCAACCACTGCATTCCAATTGAAACCCACGGGTAAGGCACTTTCTGTCACCTCATTTCCACCTACAAAGAGATAAATATGAATGTAAAGGTGTGAAGACAATTTTAACAAAGTGACCTTTAGTAACAATTATACCTGTCTTCATTTCAATTCGTAGGCCATGCTTTATTTGATTTTCAGAGTTTTGTTGCATATTATACACAATACAACAGTGATCGCCTTTCTTAAAGGACTGCACCTCAATACCTGTTAGCATCGTCAGTCCTTCTATTTTACGCTTTAGGGTTTGAACTGAATTGTTGAGTTCAATTTTCTGCAATTTTAATTATCAATAATACAGGGGACACTCTTAGTGCTCACTATTTCTCCATATTCCAAGCCATGACTTATATTACATGTAAATAGTTTAGAGAAGTTGTACACATAAAATTAAACAGTTTCCTTTTTTTATATAATAAAACTAGATTAGGCTCAACTTTACCATTTACGTGAGTCTTAGATTATGTACTTAAATCATATATATTCTCTTGCCAACCTGAACTAAGCACAAAAACTAGTCGACTAAGTATATTACCCGAGGCTTTACGAAAACATGTTTCTGTTTTTGTTTTAGTGGAGCCCTTTTGCGCTTTAACGAAATCCGCTGCCTCTGGAACAACTCTTTCTGTAGCGCTTCTAGTTGTTCCTCGTGTGCTCTTATTCTGTTATGTATCTCCTCGCAATCCGCCGGAATGGTTTTCGCTAAATAAAGTGTTAACGATTTAAGTTCTTATAAATGTATTATACTGTATACATAACAGTTTACAACTCACGTTTTTTAAACAGCATTGTAATTTTCAACTGCTTTTGATTGGTCATTGTATTTTTTCTCTAAAATAATAAATTATAAGAAAGTTCCTAAACTTACAAAATTATAAATTTAAAATTTTGTTTTCCTGCGATGACAATATTTTCAGTTAATTTAAAACTGTGTCATCTTAGTTGACGTATGACATACAGATTACAACACTTTGAGGATCTACATAGGATCTATATGACATAGATTATACCCACCACATTGAAATTAATGTAAATTAGTTTTAATCATAGTTTGCACATTTATAACTGTTTAAAAGGTTTTTAAGAATTACTCTCATGTATTAAAAATTAAAATAAATAATAATCAAAGGCTTGCGTATGATGCGGTAGTAGATCTTAGAAGATTGGCAATATCATAAACGTAAAAAATATAATAGGAAATATAATGTAAAAAATTATTAACTGTTTTATTTTCGCGGAAGAATCTTGTTTCGGCGTTTAAGGAACAAATGGGGAGAAACAGAATAGACAGATAGAGAAACTTCCTTACGGCCTTATATTTAATGCAACAAAAAATCTTTATAAAGATTTTTATAAATATGTTCCTATTAACTTGAGGTCCTCTTCAGAAAGTCTTCCTTCAGACAAGCGTACACGCAACCTAAAAAAAATATACTTTTAATAATATCACTAAATCTTATAAGTTAGGTTCATTCATGCTGATAAACGTGTTTTTCGAAAAGATATTAATATAGGGAGTTTGAAAAGTCTTATATAATATTAGGAACACATCAAGAGTTGAGCAAAATGACGGCACTTAAAACATGGTCCACGTAAAATATTCCACCCACCTCTCTTCAGTATGTGTGACAGACCACAACTTGGGCATGTACTGAGGCTTCATAGATTGCAGGAAATGTTCGCGCCACAATTCCTCCAAGCGTAGTAGTCCTCCTTGCTCCAAGTAAAACTCCGTGACTTTGTGGCCGTGTGACTCGTAGTCTGCGTTTTCAACACTGCAATTGTTCTGCCAACTTAAATCTTTTTCTAATGAAAACTTAAACAATTTTTTTATTAAAAGAAATCAATTATATTTTATATTGAGTATACAGCTTTGTGTAGTAAAAACAATATTAGGAATATTCGCGGGGAACATTTAAAGAGAGTTACTCACAAAATGGACATCTCCGCCGCTTCATTTAATAATTCTTCAGTGACCATGTCATGCGCAGGAAAATTCTGAAGCAAAATATTTTCCAACTCTTTTCTCCTCGCAGGCGGCAAGACGTGCTTCCGAGCTTGATAGAGCAGCGCACGCGCCGCTGACCGAACTTTTCTAGAAAATAAATTCAACATTTTTAAATATTCTAATTGTTCTCGTCGGTCTAATGGTAGCAATAGAGGGCACGCGTAATTAAAAAGCAACGAGCCGAGGCTTCAAATCCCACCGGGTCCAGTGTATTTCTAAATAACTTTCGGACTGTAGAACAGTAACCTAGACATTGAGAGGATATTGATGATGTCATCAACACATTGAGAAATCACATTGTGTGTGGATTGTGGAGGGTGTTTCTTCTTACTTTACATCCAAATTAGTGAAACTTACTTGCATTCCACGTCTTCGATATACATAGCTCTGACGTGATCCGCAAACGGAGCGTCACACGTCTGAGCGAGTCTTTCTCGAACGGCCTGATCTCTCATGTTACTACGCTGATGACACGACACGCACAGCAAAACGACGTCGTGGGATGAGTGGTCTTTCATCACCTCTGTCAAACGAAGATAAGTCAGATGTAGGAACGGCAGATGAAATTCCAGCAACATTAAAGGCAAAGAATTTAATTACCTGGAAAATGTTTGCGATACTCTCTGGGCACTACATTCTTGCGAATGTATGAATTATGCTCCCCACACACCACACAAACGTTCTGTTTGGTCAGCTGGTAGTATTTGCCCACTTCCCCCACTGAGCGACCCGCAGGCTCAAACCGCAATCGCACAGTGAGAGGCTCCTCTGTTATCACGTCGGCTAACTCCTTTTCTACATACCTAGTGTAAAAAACGAAAGCTTTAAGTGACACAAGATTACATCTGGTGATGTGTACCACAGATTTAATTATTTGATGGGCTCTTTGGTGTAATGGTCAAGTTGTGGGTTAGATCCCCACCAGGTACAACATTTCTAATTTTTCTGAAACATGTTGGACTTTGTCGTCCCCATGCCTAGAGATGAAGAAGCTGTGAAGTGTAATCGCGTTTCAGTTTCAGTCAATGGGTTTATAAAAATCACAGCTGTATAAGTCACACAGATCAAAATTATGTGTTGTAAACGTTTAGTATCTTGGATACTTACCATTTTGCCTTTTTAGTGTCGCAAGTGCAAAGCAACTCCCCATCTGGTGCTTGAAGGAAGCAGTTGTGGTAAAGTGGGGAAGAACGGGCTGCATATGGGTACCTCTTGCTTTGTGCTAATTCTTTTTTCGGTTGTTTTTCTACTTCTTTCATCCTATAAGTACAAACTATCATTACTTGGAACCCAAATATAAATAAACACATTAGGAGGGTGTGCAACATACTAAATAAATATTTACCCGTTCTTCATTTTCTTAGAAGTCTTGGTTTTAAAACAAACATCTGCATACTGCCAACATAAGTTGTCAATGTTGCTCCATTGTTCATTATGACTCCATTTCCACCATGGCCACTTGCTTCTAGAATATTGATCGAAGAGTTTGACAAACATTCTGATAGCGACGTGTGCATCTGCCGCAGCATAGTTCAATTGTCTGTCTGATAACTGATCTACCTCCCAGTCACTACAACGTATCTTGTCAAAGAAAAAGTATAATTTAGAGCAAATAGATAAAGTGTTTATACATTTTATCATGAAAGATTGCAGAAAATCTAAAAACCTGTCTTCATCTACCCTCTCATGTACAATTATCATGTAAAAATTTATTTAATCTATAATGTATCAAATAGTTATATTCTCCAAAATTTGGAAAATAACTACATACATTTGTCTAATGTACAATTAATGTATATGGTTACAAGGTGTGTAAATATAAAGATTTTCTCCTAGATTTAAATTATTAATTCTGTTTTAAGTTGTTTTTCTTCACTTTATTTCTGTTCTGGTTTATTTAATGTAGGGAGTTGGGTATGTTTAGTTTTTACTTTTTAGAAACAAACTTACTCTCCAGCTTTTATCTAAGACAATACCAAGAAGAGACTTAGAAAGAGTTGCTAGCCCTCCTGGATCGTAGCCACATAACTGAGCAATGTGTCTAATATCGAGTGTAGCTTTTAGGTTTATTCCATAGTCTGCTGCAATATATTTAGCATCATCAATCGGCGCCACACCAACCTTATATATTTTCTCATCTTCTAATAATTCCTGAAATATACATTTTATTTTATTTTATATAATTAGAACTGGGTTACAAAGATACAATAACAATGTTACCAATAACTTTTGAAAGTATTTCATCTGAAATATGGACAGAGCTAAATCCTTAGAAATTACCAACTACATACTTACTTTTAAGCTTTCAGGACAATGTTGTAGTTTATTTAGACGGAACAGTCCACAAAAACCATCATATGTAGAAATCTGTATCAATGCTACTGGTCTCTTGTTTCCGTTTACCGTAACCCACTCACAGTCAAATCCGATAGCTCTGCTTACCACACATTGCCTGTAAATTATTTATGTAAATATGTGTGTAAGAAAAATAAAAATGCTTATCGTGAGCACAATAGCCAAGACTACCTCCAACCATGAGGTCGAGATGTCGACGCGATTGAAGACCAAAAGCGGAAGTTTTGTAGTAGGTGGTGACAAAGAGAACTCTACAAAATAATTACTCACTTTAATATTTCTTTTATAACTTCGTCACAATCCACTGTATTTTCCACGATTTTTATCGTTAAATAGCGAAAGGCGTCAACAGCGTCAAGAATGCATTTTTTTCTTAGCATATAGTAAGATATACCCAAAACAATAGCGGTTGAGGTTAAGACAACAACTTTAAATTCAAACATTATGAAAGTCTCAGAATCTTTGGGTATATGACTTTGGTAGGCGAAGCTGAGACAAAAATAAGTATAATTTCGAATATGATTGATATTACATCAGTATAGGCGTATGTAAAAAAAAAGAAACTATTTGTTACCGAAAACCCTTGTGAAATATGTACCATATATGTATATAGTACACTGTACAATATAGTCCATAGTAAATATTAAATAACAAATAACAAACAAATGTACAAGTAATACACAGATGTAAATAGGTAACAGATAATTTATATGTTAGAACTTCGGTCAGAATACAAATGTTGCCTGTTGGCAATATATATATGACAGACAAGTGCATTTCTTGTCATAAAATATCCGTGAATATATATTTATTTTAAGTTCTAACCAGATGAGAAAAACAAGTGGTAGAAAGAAGTTTCATTGTTAAACAGCTAATATCAAAATGGTTCGCGATCGCAGTCCCGAACGACGACGATCACGATCGAGAGAAAGACGTGATCGCGACCGGTACGACGAAAGAGAAGCTCATAGAGATAAAAAGCGTAGGGATCGTTCACGAAGCCCCCGAAAAGACCGAGAAAGGTCCAGAAGTCCAAGGAAAGAAAGAGAGCGCTCTAGGAGTCCCAATAGGAAGGACCGAGGCAGGTCTCGAAGTCCTAAGAAACGCGATGGCAAGGAGAAAGAACGACGCTACGATGACAAAGAGAAGTATCGCTCGAAGAGGGAAGGCGATAACAAACCTGAAAAAGAAGAAGATGGGCAATCAGAAAGTGTAGAAAAAAAGGAGGACTCAAAACCTGTGAAAAAGGAACCTTTATCATTAGAAGAACTACTCGCCAAAAAGAAAGCTGAGGAGGAAGCCCGTAGTAAGCCAGTATTCTTAACAAAAGAACAAAGAGCTGCCTTGGCATTGGAACGTCGTCGTGAGCAGGTAGAAGCGATGAAGGCCAACACATCAAATCCGACTATAGCTACAATAGATCTCACAGGAAACTCCAGAAAAGATGATGACAGAAAATTTAGGGAAGAAAGGGAGCGAGAGCGTGAGAGAGAACGAGAACGTGATAGAGAAAGAAAGTATGAAGAGAGGAAATCAAATAATGAACGGAAGGATGATAAAAAAGAAAAAGAAGATGAATTAAGTGGTAAAGATAAGGAAAGGGAAGAAGAAGCCATTAAAGCGAGATACTTAGGTATTGTCAAGAAAAAGCGCAGGGTAAGAAGGCTTAATGATCGTAAGTTTGTATTTGACTGGGATGCGTCTGAAGACACTTCAAATGATTATAATGCACTATATAAAGAAAGACATCAAGTTCAATTTTTTGGAAGGGGGCACATAGCAGGCATTGATATTAAATCACAGAAAAAAGATTACAGTAAGTTTTATGGCAACCTTCTTGAGAAAAGAAGAACAGAACTAGAAAAAGAACAGGAAAAATTACGTTTGAGAAAAGTTAAGAAGAAGGAAGATAAGCAAAAATGGGATGACAGGCATTGGTCAGAAAAAGACCAAGATGAAATGACTGAAAGGGATTGGAGAATCTTTAGGGAAGATTATAATATTACTATCAAAGGAGGTAGAATACCTAATCCAATAAGGTCATGGAAAGAAGCTGGCTTCCATCAAGACATAATGGAAATTATAAACAAAGTCGGGTACAAGAGCCCTACACCCATTCAAAGACAAGCAATTCCAATTGGTTTGCAAAATAGGGACATAATAGGTGTTGCAGAAACTGGATCAGGAAAAACACTAGCTTTTCTTATACCATTGCTGACTTGGATACAGTCTTTGCCCAAAAGCGAGAGAATGGAAGATGCTGATCAAGGTCCATATGCTATCATCTTAGCTCCTACCCGTGAATTGGCGCAACAGATAGAAGAGGAAACTAACAAGTTTGGTGTGCCATTAGGAATTACCTCTGTAGTTGTGGTGGGAGGTCTTTCTAGGGAAGATCAAGGATTCAAACTAAGATTGGGATGTGAAATAGTAATAGCTACTCCAGGGCGTCTTATTGATGTATTAGAAAATAGATACTTGGTGCTTAACCGTTGTACTTATGTTGTTCTCGATGAAGCGGATCGTATGATTGACATGGGTTTTGAACCGGATGTACAGAAAATTCTGGAGTATATGCCAGTCTCAAACATTAAACCAGACACAGATGCAGCGGAAGATGCGTCAATCTTGCTTGCAAATTATAATACTAAGAAAAAATATAGACAAACTGTTATGTTCACAGCAACGATGCCACCGGCCGTAGAAAGATTAGCGCGTAGCTACTTGCGTCGACCGGCTATTGTCTACATAGGATCTGTAGGCAAGCCAGTAGACAGGACAGAACAAGTTGTACACATGATAGGTGAAAATGAAAAACGTAGAAAACTTACTGAGATTCTTCAACGTGGCGTGGAACCGCCCATAATTATATTTGTCAATCAAAAGAAAGGAGCCGATGTTCTTGCAAAAGGTTTGGAGAAACTTGGCTTCAATGCGTGTACTTTGCACGGCGGGAAAGGACAAGAACAGCGTGATTTTGCTTTGGCAAGTCTTAAAAATGGTTCAAAGGATATACTGGTTGCAACAGACGTTGCCGGTCGTGGTATCGATATCAAAGACGTCAGCATGGTCATCAATTATGACATGGCAAAGTCAATAGAAGATTATACACATCGTATCGGTCGTACCGGGCGTGCTGGCAAAACTGGAAAAGCTATTTCATTTGTTACTAAAGAGGACTCTGCTATATACTATGATCTTAAACAAGTTTTGCTCGCCAGCTCGGCTTCAACGTGTCCACCAGAACTAATGAACCATCCAGATGCACAACATAAACCAGGAACTGTTGTGACAAAAAAACGCCGAGAAGAAATGATTTTTGCTTAAGTTGTGTTAAAATTAATAAAAACACCTTTTCAATTGTAAGCATTTATTTTTACACTGCATACAGTAAATAAGTAGTAACTATATTAACGAATATCTCAGAAATATGATAGTAAGTTTAGTCATATTCCATATCCAAGTCTATTTTATCATCGAGAAGTAATTCTGAAAAGATAATATCATGTCAATTGAAATATAAAGGTGTAGACTGTTAAGCCAAAAATGAAATGCAATACTGACATCACAATATAAAAAGCCATATATCATACAAGAAAGCATTCGATGAATCCGCAGCAAAGATACAAACAAGCAGAAAAGTGTGAAGTAAACAGAGTCATTTTTTATTTAGCAGAAGACAGATTAAAGAACACAATACTAAAGCAAATTGCAATTCACTATAGCAGAAAGAAAATCAAGCCACCAAAAAGTGCCACTATCAAGCTGTATTCCATGATAGTGTGAGCCTAGTTTTCTGCTAGAATACCTAGTTTCCTTTCTCTTGGCTGTTATCCCCTGAACTTTTAGCCGGTGGTGGCATAATAGCTTGCTTTACAGTAGATGCTAAAGACAAACTCATGTCAACAAACTCAGATAGGTCTTTGGGAAAAGACAACTCTGGAAGTTTCACTTCTAACTGTGGGTCCCCTGGTTTTACTGATAAATATGTAAAGAAGTAAATTATTACCAAATATATTTTACATTGTAGAAGTGAAAAACGTTAAGAATAACTCACCCCCATATAAGAAATTATACGCAATGTTTATGTACTGCTTAGCTAGAACTCCATTCTCACTCATAATTTGTTTAGTTTCTTCTGGAAAGCAAACATATCCCATTGCTGTAGTCCCCAACGAAGAATAGAATATTCTCTGTAATAAAAATTGTCATCATAGCTTCTATTCAAAAGATTTTAACTAATATTACAATCTACAAGTAAAAGAGGGATTAAATCATTATGTCCGTCTGTGCCCTGCAGCAACATAATATATCTGCTGGTCACCAACTTGTGTTGAAATGGAAACAGTGATGTATTTGGATCATACAATACAAAGTTTTATTAGTACTTACACGAATTAGTCCTCCTCTTAAGCCAAAGATGAAGCCAGTGAGACCTCCCATAGCTACAGCTCCATATCTAGTCTGCTTATTCTCTTCTTCCCTGAGATACTGAATAATCCCTTAAATTATATAAACTCTTTTAAATTAGCAAATTAATTTATTATAGATTGAGACATGCACATCTTAAAATTGTATCTTACAAGTTCAAGTTGCAGCTGTATATTTATCACACAAAAAACTTCATAATGAAGTAGAGCTTAAAAAGTATATATTTACATACTCACAATCAGTCCTATCAATAGCTTCTTGATAGTTGTCAGTGATTCTATGTTTAAAAGATGTGGAATGAGCCAGACCAGTCTCAACTACCTCTCTAGCTGCAGTCACAGGAGGCATTAATATTGATCTCAAATAGCTGCTTTTGTTCTCTTTCGATTTAGACTCCAAGTGACTGATAAGAAGAATCACATAAGTGTACTTATACTGTAGTAAGACTACTTTAGTTTGTCGATCCAATAGTATATTCTAGGATTGAATGCACTATTATAGTATAACAGCCTGCATCTGAATTGAAACGGGAATACTCACTCGCCATATTCAGCATGCGGAGCCTCATATATGGGAAGTTCTGATGGTTTCATTAGTGGCGGTCTGCTAGGCTCTTCAGTGGGAGTTGCAGCACTCACAGTTGGCACAAAAGCCACAAGCCCGGAGGCTGTCACAACTGTTCTAAGCATCTGTGCACAATTCATAGAAATATTTAGGAGACAATATAATATTTTCACGTTTAGTGTAAGGAATTAGAAACTACCTCGATGGATCTAGATGGGTTCTATTCTAAAAAATATTACATAAAATAATATACTTTTCATGACTTTTCGGTGGTGGTTTTAGTGACGGTTGGCACATGACATTTGATATTTAATACTGATTAGTGACTAATGGTTTTAACTTTTAATCTCAAAATAAAAGTTGTAACATAACAGATGTATTGTTTAATGTAGTTAATAAAGTTACTTTCGAACAGCAATATCAGATTTTTATCTTCTTATACTTACGATTAAGGGATTAGTTTCATTTTTTATTTACAATTTACAAATTATCTGTAGAGAGTGAACATGGCGACACATCTGTGCCTGTACCTATATTTTGCGTGTATACTGTATAGAAGAAACTCTAGATTATTAAATATTTTCCATAGGAGTCGTGTGTACTACAGTGTACTGGTGCCTGAGTTTGTGCCTTTAAGCTGTTTCAATTAACTTTTCTATTTGTCTTCTCAGTTTTTATCATAACTTTATTATTGTGAAATAGTTTAAAAACCGTAGTTATTATAACCGCTGTGCGTAGTGATCGTGGGGGTACTTCGTTCGGTGTCGGTTTTTGGAGACCTTGTTCTATTGATGTTGTTTGGAATTTATATGCTGAAGTGAATTGTTCATACGGTACGGTACGGTATTGTTGCTAGGGTAATATTTTTCCTAATTTCATACTTATAATGTCAGCCGTGCGTGTCGGTCGTGTGCCTAAACGCAGAAAGGTGAACCGAGCTAAAACCCGGTCAGGTGAGCAAAGATCTGCATGGGGATTGTAACGTTCTTACAGATCATATTAAAATGCAACCGCTGGAATGGAGTAATACCTTGCAGAGTGACTTGGTTGTTTGCTTACACGATTCCATTAAACTGGTACATACTATAAATATTGTGGAACCACAATTTCTTTGTCTGTCAACATACCTATGCGTGCAAATTTTGTTTATGTAACCCTTTCGAAAGGGGTAACTGTTGATATAATTAGAGATATTAAGTAGATATTTATTTGCATAGTATTATATTGACATTCAATAAAAACCATAGAAACTATGTAAAAAGAAAAGGGGTTGAATGAATTTATATATTGAAATATAACACGTTAGTTGGGCCTAATTTACTTACACCTGCATTGTCTGGTACTAACAATTGATTGGACTGATTCAGACTAGTAAGGTGCATGATGATCACATAACCACCGGGACTGCGGTCGAAGGAAGGACTACTTTGGGAATGAAATGGTATATATATATATAGGTGCTATTTTTTTAAAGAAATGACATTGAATATTGAGAAATAGAAATAGCCACACTAAGTTATACATTCATATTCAGAGATATCAATTCAAGAGTATCTAATTTACTTTTGAATGTCGGTCAAGGTAATTTACTTGCACAAAATACAAAGTAGCAAATTGTATAATTTCATGAGTCAGCCGTAAAGGCTTTGAATTTATGAAGCAGTCTACTTTCTTTTTTCCAGTTGTTAACTGTTATCATCAGTTTCATTTCTTTAATGCATTGTCCTTTGGGGTATTTTTACTACCTGTTTAAGCTAAAAATCCTATTGCATGATTCAGTTAATTGTTGTTTGTCACTGGTTATTTTATCCTTGACAAAATTCAAATTAAATCGTGAAGTTCTTCACTTCAATGGTAATTTACATATCCATGTACCGTATGTTAGTAGTGATTACTCTGACATTGTTATTATCTTCTCTTCTTGCTCGTCACTGTTGTATTCTAAAATGGTAAAACTTTTGACGGCGCGTTTCAGTGTTGAGAATGATGGCAATAATGCAAGACAGGAATAGCGAGGAGGTTCCGCGCGAGTTTCTCGAGACGGGTCGAACCGGGCGAAGAAACGCGATGCCCGATATTTTGCATCCGCAAGGGGCCGAAGTCACCACCGCCGACCTGCCGTCGAGGCTCCAGAATCTAGTTACGACCGGTGAGGAGTAAATACATCTACTCAGTGTTGACAATTTCAGGAACCAATGTTTTCTGATCGCTGTAATTCGGGTTACGGCGGGTTTTTACTTATTCAAGGATACTGCAAGTGCTAGAACATTTCAAAACATCACACTTACGTTTATATTATAAAACCGAAATCGTTAAACGTAATACATCAAATGAAATGACCGTTTACCATAAGTGCAACTAAAAACTGTTGTTAATCGTTTTTACCTTCGTTCAACAACGAATGTAAAAACGATTTTTTGATTTTGATTAAATGATAGTTGAAAGTATGAAAATTTGCTGACGCATAGGGGCGATTCTAAAAAATTAAGTAAAAAGGAACTTTATGTTACGGTTCTTGAAATAATTTGTAAATAAGTATAACTAATACACTTCGCGTTTTGAACCGTTGACAGTGTTTTAAGGTTACATTTTGAAATTAGATACGCAAACGAGTCAATATGGTTCTTAAGGAGCGAGTGTGAGAGTCCGTTTCGCACATGGCCCGTTTAATTTTCTACGACTACACTAATATATACACTTACTATATTATTCGGGCCGTATTGGGCAACATCAACGGGGCGGTTCGTTACACCTGTAGCCGTTGTCGGCGTTGCGAGTATAGCTCATTAGAATAACAAAGGGTAAAAATTATTCCGCCGTCTCCACTAGCCGGCGTGCCCGTCCGACCATTATTCAATAATGACACAGAAAAGTTCCCGTTATAAATAGACCATCGTTCGTAAAGCGAGCCTGAAAATAATTGGCAGCGACAACTGCGCATCTAAATTATAATGAGCACGGACTTCTAATGATTATTAGTGAACTTTCCTTCCAATTCCTAAACACAAATCGTCGAGTAATCTGAAAAGATCTAGGCGTCACGTACTGTGCACGCACAACATATAGTTAAAAATGTAAGTTGCAAATTATCGTCTGCCCCCGTCAGATCTAGTAAGATCTACTTCATTATAACAAGTATTGTAATAATACTGTAATCTAGTGAGGGCCGAGAGCCGAGAGCCGATAATTGCGTCCCGTTGATTAATGACATCGTTAAAGATTAGTTCGAGTGGATTATTCAATAATTGCGATTCTCGCCGAGCTCTCGCGACTTTGTTTTTCAGAATAATGAGTATGACCGTTCGAACTATCTACCGATCGATCAAGATTTGAACTCGACGATTTCAGATCCCGACCACGCGCAAGCCGGTCCGTCCAAGGCAGACTTGGAGTCGGGCAAAGCGGACGACGCGACGACTAAGAAGGACTGCAGTTGAGCTGCCTTCCTAGACCGCCCGGGACTCGCCCGAAGCTTGTAATCTCAATTATTAATAAAGTATTCGACGCACCGATGTAGGCGGGGACCTTTACGGGGTTCGGCGTAGACGCGTAGACAAACTCACGCATAGATGTCTGCCAATAGTTTTTACATCTTATCGAATTTTATTACTTAGAGAGGCTATTGATTTGATTAGTTTATTCTTTTCGAGGCACGCGAGTGTCGCTCTTTATTTTAGTATCGTTTGCCCGAAGGCAAAATGTACAAAACCAATGTTATAGTTAAAATATTATTTGTGCGCGCATAATTATGTTTAGTTTAAAATCGCTTAATGAGATGGCTGTTCAAATTATTGATATGTGATATGTTATACATAATATAGTTCCTAAAGTATATAGACGCCATCGCACCAGTCACAAACGCGTTACGAATATCATTACTTACGCAAACGGACTAAGTTGTGTGGAATACTGTGGATTGTGTCTTCGCTAGGATTTAGCATTTTTGCTTCGCAAGTGAAGGGTGAGATTATAGTCCTGTGATAACTAGATTGAACTCGCTTCTGAGAGTTCGCTTCTAACGCAAAGTCGACTTAGATAGTGACGTTGTTAGCCGGAAACAGCGTAATTAATCTATCGGCCGCATCTCACGGTTATTAAAACTTTCCGAGGCCGCTTTACTTTATATTTAAAAGTTTAATGCGTGTGCGTCATTAAAAACTCTTGCGAATTTGGCTTTAACGGTTTAACATCGAAATTGTCTTGATGTCTTCACACACTCGATCTTTTCCCAGTACTATACAGTGTCCTCGGTATGGTAGAACGAAAAAACACTCTAGAGAGTTGTAGCTGGGTCAGCGAATACATGTATTTCAACGAAATTCTTAACAAATTGTTAACAACACTTTTGACTTCTCTGTAGCGAAATCTTAGACGATAGAATATAGCAAATTTTTGTCTTTTTTTGTTAAACATCTACAACTACAGATTTATAAAAAAATTTGGGATCTCCTAAACAAAAAATATAAGTCTTATTAGAAGTAGCTTCTCTGCATAGGCTAGCGTAATATTATTGATGTAATAAATTTTTGTACGTTTATATGTAGGTACAAAGCATAATGTATGAACATATCCGACTAGAACGTAAGTAGTGAGTTTAGTAAAGGCTTCTCATATGTTATTAACATATTCATTTTATCTATGAGCTAAGAATAGAAGAGGGTAAGGAGATCTAAAAATGTGTCAACTTTCAATTATAGTTAAAATTACATTCATTAAACTGACATCTTTTGGCCATTTTTGTTGTTCATCTTCTAAATACATGAATGACAAGGCGAAATAATATAAGTTTCAATATATTACATTTTCTTATGAAAATCCATACCAGAATCTCTTTTCTGTTGTACTACAGCGTTGTTAAGATAAATTTGAAATCTGGTTAATGTTGCAACTAATAACTGCCTGTGTCTCATACGGCCACATTGTGTTAATAATGCCTATAATTTCTCTTAATAGAATTTTGATATATTGTTATACTGCTCTGTATTTATTTTAGTGTAAGTAGGTCACATAAAAATTATCGTGATAGTTTTAGTGTTTCTGTGTTTAAACTGTATGCACGCATACTAATACAATAGGAGTGCGCTTTGTATAAGGACTGTGTAAATAAATGAAATTATTAAAATTTTTGTTTTACTTTCTACTACTCAAATGCAAAGCACTATTATGTGAATGATTAATACCATGAAAATCAAGCTCTGTTTCGCCAAACAGGGCAAATTTGTTTGTGGATTTTGCTCTTAAATCTTCTTGGGCGTTATTTTTAAGTTTCTTTTAGATTTTTTTATGCTATATTTATCTCTTAAGACCGTTGTCGGTTGAGGTCTTTTTGAAAGGCACGCCTCTCCTATTTATTAGTCTTATACCTTTTAGTTGTTAAATTTAAGAAGTGAAAAAGCATCATCCATAATATTTCCTTTGAATAAATTGACATCCTGAAAATATACTCTTCCGATATTATGTTAATACCTACAAACGGGGTGAACGACCATTCTTAGTTTACTCGACTAAGTAGGCGTTACTGCAGACAAGATACGAATAAAAACTATGCACATTATAATACACATATTATCAATTACATAAGACCGTTTGTGCAATGTACGAGTGTAATACTTCTCAGTCTTGTAGTTTTAGTGGGAGTTCTATCATTGATTATCTTTTATCTATGAAGTAAACAATGGTTATGGACTAGCGGTTAGCTCGCCTAAGCGGCAAGCGAAAGGTCAACTGTCACTTTGATATCTGTCAAATAGTCAACTGTCACATAATGACATGGAAATGATAATGACCGCTGTTCACTGATATTCGCGTATGTATGTGATTTCATAAAATCCAAGGATGGAGTGAAAGTGTTATGTGATAATATGATTAATTTTTTTTTCGGTTATATATTTCCATCGAGATATCAACAATAGTTTCAAGTGGTCCTCCAAATATGCCGTTTAATAAACTTTGCTAAAGTAGTAGAAATCTGTGATAAACTTAATTTCTAGCTAAGGCTAATTAAAGTGATTTTATGAGTGTTCTTATTAATATTACTGCCAAAAAAGATGCCGCGGGGCGAGAACAGACCGAGCGTCTTGCTATCTCGCGAAGAGAACGAACAGGTGTTTAGTCTTATAGGTCCAAAATGTCAGGTGAGATCATACCGTAATATAAAATAATTTGTCCTTAAAAAGTAAAGCTCCACAGATTACGTATTATCACGCTCTATCGATGATTATTATCAGCAAGACTTGTGTCTGATAACATGTTATTGCGATATGCTTCTGTACTGCTTACTATTATCTAAATTATGATACTAAATGAAATTCTTTTAAAAAAGAAGTTTTATCAAAAAATAACAGACTTAAAACTTAAGTTATAAAGAAAAATCTACAATAACTTCATCCATTTACAGTTAGTTTCTCAGATTATAAAAACAATTATGAACACCTAGTCATTCCTATATTTTTTATAGATTAGAGAAAATTAATGTTCTCTGTGATCATCACATATTAATTTCCTTTCTTGAGATGGGATCACCTTAAAAAATCAGTTCTTAAACAAGAAAGTTAATCAAACTGAATTATTAAGAAATTTATATTTCTGAAGCCTGGCAATAAAAAAAATTCTTATAAAATAGGTTTACTATAATAACAAATATAAAAGACACGTAGATCTCTCATAAAATTAAATAACAGTTACTACAAAATTTCATATTGAAAGAGTAAGGGAAACCCAATGTTGACTATAATATACCTACACGAAATATAACTTTTAGTGTAACTGGGCCAATTAATTTGATATTTTTGTTACATCATTCTACAGTACAATAGCATCCGTGGGTACCACTTATTAAAAATAGTTAATTCTTCTTCTACCATGCTTAATAAAGAAATAATAACTGTTAACAATGGCCAATTGTTTAATAGATAAGTAAATTCATCTTAACATTTCCTGCCCCGGACACGGTTAAAGTTAAACATGTCAATAGTTATAGAAGAGAATGTATTTTTGTCTCCATTCTAGAGTCTAGCCACTGCCGTAGTACAGCTCTTTACAACGGAAGGGCCGGGACACACGGAATGGAAGAAAAAGGACACGGGAGTGCTCTGCCTTGTGAAGGATAACGGCAAGAGGTCCTACTTCTTCAGGATCTATTGTTTGTACCGCAAGGCGATGATATGGGAACACGAAGTCTACATGCAGATAGAGTATAAAAGCCCCAGGCCATATTTACACACGTTCGAGGCCGAGGTAATTAAGACCCGGAGCACGTTCGTGAAAACGAATGACGACCGAATTTAACGCTGAACTTCAATTTCAGGAATACATGACGGCGTTTAACTTCGCGAACGAAGACGAGGCCCGCGTCCTCAGGAACATTCTCATAGAGAAAATCGAGTTGCGGAAGCAGAGGCGCGAAGGTTCGTTGTCGCTTTCCCTTTCTAGCCTTTAACAGTCTCGAATGCGAGTCGTAAGACCTTTTCTCTGTGCACCGCTCGTACGTGCTAATAAGCATTTGAGTCACTGTCAGTATGATATAATGAGATCGCGCGCAAACAATGAGCTTGTGTAAACAAGGGGAGGTTCGGGATGTTTTTATATCTGCATCATGCACGATAAAATCACCGACATATTGACAACGAATCGAAAGACAAACTCGTTTTCTTTTAATGTTTTAATATTCGATGACTCATGAATACTTGATTGAATGATGATGAAAATGTCCTCGAAAAAACTTAGCCAAAACTATGGTTGGAGTCGGTAAGGGGGGTCGCAACGAATACATATTGAAGATTGCGTAAGGAAAGTCTGATCTGAAAATCAAAGGGAATTAATTTTCTGCAATTGTAGAAAGGAGACAAAGGTCAACGCTGGCAGCTCGCGCCAATAGTTCCGCTTCGAACCTATCGAATCAGTCGTCTCACATGAACGGAATGACTCATGCGCAGTCCACTCCCGCCCCCACCCCGTCGCCTACGCCTGCCTTAGTTTCCGCCCCGGTCTCCGCACAGCCTGTGAAGACGAACACCCTGTCGAGTGAGATCCTTTTTTAAGACTGTTATTACCTAGTGTTTTTATTAAGTCAGTTTCATAAGAATGCAACTCTCGTCTTTTCAAAAGGTTCCTACTTGAAAGGAAAGAAACCGAAAGCGAGAAAGTTGACGAAGGCCGACATCGGCGCCCCGAAGGACTTCAAACACATCTCCCACGTCGGCTGGAATGCTCACAAAGGTGAGGCGGTTCGCGCTCCTCGAGGTTGTCGGATGGATGTGTGCTTATTAGAAAAGTTTTCTTCTACTTTACTTTTACGACTTGCAGGTTTCGACGTAGACAACCTCGCCGAGGCCGAGATGCGCTCCTTCTTCTCCAAAGCGGGCATCAGCGAGACGGAGTTGAGCGACCAGGCCACTCGCCAGTTCATATACGACTTCATCAACTCGCACGGAGGCATCGACGCCGTTAAAGAGGAGCTCCACGACGATCCACCGAAATGTGAGTCTCTCTCGGGTCAGGCCTAACGAACGGAGATTACGCTGTAGTAGCGACGACTATATGAACTGACAAATTCACCCTCAGACGCACGAGGCGCAGCGGCGGTGCCCCCCGCACCCCCCGTGCCCTCTCGAGCCCCGCCTGCGCACCCGCCTGCACCGCGTAAGTATTTTCTTCTAATATCTCGAAGTTAATGCTATAATATTTGTAAGACAACTTTAGTTATGTACAAAAAAAAATTTCAGCCTCACGAGCGCCTCCTCCTCCGCCGGCGAGAGCTGTGCCCCCACCGCCGCCACCCCCCTTGACCGTCGTTGCACCCCGCAACCCGCCCCCTCCGAGACCGCTACAACGTAAGTAATATTTAATGGGGCGACGGTGACAATAATGCAAGAGAAACATTTATCCCGTGTAATCGCATTTGTGCTAATATTAATGTGACCTTACTATCTTAAGAGTATTAAAATTATGACTGCCCGCAGCAGCGCCATCTAGCGCGCCGCCGTCTGTACCGCCGCCGCCGCCGCCTAGTGTCGCTCCACCTCCGCCCCCACCGCCGCCGCCGCCGGCCGCACTGCCGGCCCCCGCGCCGCCACCCGCTCCGCCTATTCCTTCGGAAGCACCCGCGGACCCGAGGGCGGCCCTAATGGAAAGCATACGCAACGGGAACAAGAGTTTAAGGGTGAGTTTATACGATGTAGTATATAGGATTACATCAAGTTTTTTAAGTAATGATCGTTTTTCACTTGCAGAAAGTGGAAGTCGGTGCGAAACCCGTAGGAAATGAAGATAGCAGAAGTAATCTGCTGAGCGAGATTCGGCAGGGCATTAACTTGCGCGCAGTACGTTATAATTTTCTTATTACTAATTTATAACGATACGACGGTAGAAGGTGGCGCTCCTCAACGTCAATTGTTTCCAGGTTAAGCCTCCCGACTCGAGCCAAGCGCCCGAAGCTCGGCCGCCGGCGTGCGGCTTGGCCGGGGCGCTCGCCAAAGCGTTGCAGGAGCGGGCGCGGGCGATACATTCCTCAGACTCCGAGGACAGCGAGACGACGAGCGACGGGGAATGGGATGACTAGGCCGGCATTACGTTCGCCTTACAACTGATCGACGTCTCTTTCTGTTACGCGATTGCCTAAACGTGAACGAAACGAAAATTATGGACGACATGTATGCGCGTGCCTTTCGTTGGACTTGGCGAAAAATGTTTAGGATTAACTTGGAAAGATGATTCACGATCACGCAGACTATCATAGAAGTTATAAATAAAGTCGGTGTTTTAATCTTCTTTACCGATTAGTCATTCGGGCTGATTCGTGAAAGTTGTTTTTGTAATTTCTGAATCGTTTATTTTCTTAAAAGTCTGAAAAAGGCACCCATTTCTACGATTTAAAGTCGAGATATATTTTTTAACTTATTTTAACTACAACTCTACGTCTCGGATGCTTTGACCTTTGACATATGTGCACCCCCACATCTACAGTCGCCCTGTGTCTAAGGCTGCTGTGAAGCATCCAAAACGTCGGGCCGTAGTTATAATAAATTAAGTTATTTATTCTGCGTTTTAAACCGTCAAACGTGTTTAATTTCAAAGCGTTCTACTCGTTGTACGATATGTATGTCTGTCATCGTAAGTATTGTAGTTCATGACTATTCGATTGACTGAAGAATAACGATATATTCTTAATACATTGTCACGTAGATTTGGTGCATTCATCGAAGTGGGTGAAGATTTAGTTAGATTTTGTGCGTCGGTCCCACAGCGCGGGTTTATGTACGTTCTGTAATAACTCGCAAATCCCTTTCGCCAGAAATGGCCTTGTATCGTTGGGATATGTAATATCCGAATAGTATATTCTTTGTATTGATGGTTCTCAAATAATTCTCTGTAACAAAAATTTCCCCTCCAACGTGTAGACGTTACTTCTGTATATGATTATAGCGATTAAGCGTCAAATATATTATGGTATTTTTATAATGTTATAGTTTTTGTATCTGTAAATGTGTAGTCTGTACTAACTTATTGTTAACGCTAACCGCTCTAATAATGGATGGAGCGGAGGCTCCCCAGGTATTACGCCCGCGATCCCTTTTGGTGACCTATTAAACCATTATTATTATTACTATTGATTTTAATTTTGAGGGAGACGAAAATAAAGTTCAATTGGCTATATTATCACATAGATATAATTCACATAATCCTAGGTCGCTCTCAATAATATAATTAATTACCTATCAGAGAACAGTTCACAGCGGCCAATACATCCCGAGCCCGAGAGAATTGCTATCGGCTACGGTACGAAGCGATCTAGAAATAAACTTAAGTAACAGAAAATAAATGCAAAATAACATAGATTAAATTTACTTTAGAGTAACTGCAAAGTGAATGGACGCCACTTTACAAAGCGAAGTGACCGATGGCGCCCGATCGATAGACGTCTAATGACCTTATGATACTAATCATTTTCTTACAATAAATGACTGCAAGTTCATTAACCACAGCTAGTTCTAAGCTTAACTAAACACGTGCACATCGATGAGATTTGCCTTCGAAAGAACTATGTACAAAATGGCAGCTCTATAGCCGGCAAAGTTTAATATATTTACATTTACTATTAGTAGAACCGTCTGAACGTATCAATATTTAGATATAAAACTACTTTCGAAATAAGCCACAAAAATATGTCACTGGCCTATAGAGTGTGCTGTAACTCTTAAAATGTAATTTAAATAATAATTATCAATCGGGCTTCGACCAAGTTTAGTCGTCGTCAATAGTGATTGTCATCGTTAGGTTGTTATCGAAACCTAGGGAATCATCATCGGTCAGTTCGACCACGTCGGCATCTCGGTTCGCGCTTCGCTCGTTTCCCTCGACGTGGACGTCGTCCCGCTTCTGCAAGAGCGACAGCACGTCCGATATGATGGGCGCATGTACCATAGCGTGCAGAGAGCTCTCCGTCGAGTTCTGACTGTCTTCGTTTTCAGGTCGCCCGCTATCTTCGGTGGCGTCTTCGCCGTTTTCGTATCCATAAAGTTTTTCATCGTCTTTCTCATCCAAAGGAACGTACGCGTCGATGAGCCAGGGCAGATTGGCGTCGCTCGTGAACACTTTGGAGGGATCGCTATCCTCCTTGTCGCACGCGTGCTGCGAGAACACCTTCGCGGAGGTGAAGTATTTGTGGCACGATTGGCATCGGTTGAGCAAGTGGGCTCGGTAGTGATTGTGCAGATTGGGGAAGTCGTCTCCGCACACGATGCACTTTTCGGGCTTGATCGTCGTTCGGTAATGCATCTTCTTGTTACACTTGTGCACGGACTTCATGTGGCGCATGAACGGTCCGTACTTGACGAACTGCTCGCGACAGATGCGACAGCGCAACGGAACCTTCTTGTATTTGCGACTTCTGTGTGAGAACGCGTGGATGTTGAAGGCGTCGATCGTTTTGAACTTGAGAGTGCAAAACCGGCACGAGATGGATCCAGAACCTCTATGAAGGATGTCGTGCTTCTTCTTCGTTTTCGCTGTCACGGGCTTAAAGCAAAATCCGCATTCCTCGTATTTCGGTCTAATGTCATTGTTTCCGTTTTCGACGACCTCGTCTTCGCTGTCTATGTGGCAAATATGGTTGTCGAAGTCCGCTCGCGAAAAGAAATACTCTCCGCATTTCTTACACCTGTTCTCCTCGTGATAGGACAGATGCCGATGCAAGTTATAAAACACTTTGTCGCAAATGTTGCACTTCTCCTCGACGGACTCTTTCGGGAGCACTATCCACTCCTTGTTGTCGGCGTGCACGTCGCGCATGTGATAAATAAACTCCCGAAAAGCCACGAAAGTTTCATCGCAATGCTCACACTTTGTGGGATTGTCCACGTTGAGTTGGGAGAAGTGGTGGTTCTTATGTTTGTTGTAAGCGGTCAAGGTGTTGAACTTCCTACTGCAATATATGCACCCATAGTGTCCCACAGTTCTGTGATAGAGCTTGTGCGTGGTCAGCGCGTCGTCGTTCTCGAACACTCGGAAGCAATAATCGCAAACGATTTCCTTTTTACTCTCGGTGGCTTCCCGGAAAGACGTTATGTCGTGCTGAGTTCGCAGATGACAATCTAACTTGACCTGTACATGGAAGGCCTTGTAGCAGATGTGACACTTCACCTTCCGCGGGTGAGTCTCAGTGTCACCGATCAGTTTTTTCTTATCGCAACTATAAGCCAAATGACCTTCCAAGAATCTCAAGGTGCTGAAGTAATCATGACAGTAGTTGCAACGAAGAGAATTGTGGTAGTCGATGTGCCTCTCGAAGTTGCCTTTGCTCGCGAGGACCTTGTAGCATACGGCGCACTGAAGATCTTTCAATGGACCGTCGAGACCCCCCTGGTTCCTGTCGGCGATCCAAGTCTCTTCGATGTCATGGGCGTCGCGCAGGTGGTAGTGGAGATCGTATCCGCGCGAGAAGGTTTCGTCGCAGTGCTGGCACTTGAGCGGCTCGTCAAGGTATTTCTGCGTCAAGTGGCCTTTAATATGAATGCGATGATTTTTCAGCGAGATCGTCTTCTTGCCGCAAAATTTGCACTTGAAGAATTCCGGTTTGCGGAGGTGCGCTTCTTCGTGGTGCTGCAACCTTCGTTCGTCGAGAAACACTTTAGCGCAAAGCTTGCACGGATAATACATTTGGGCCGGCGCGTCCGGATCTTCTTTGATCATTTTGCTCTCGGGGTGCGTTCGGCGCAAGTGTCGAATCAGCCGAACCAAGTCCGGATAGAACCTGGTGCAGATGGGGCACTTCACTTTGTCCTTCCTGAGCTTCTCGATGCGCTTCTTGTGGTCCTGGTGGTCGAAATTGTGCGATTTGAGGTGCCGACGGTAATAGTCCTCGGCGATGAATCCCTTAGCGCAAATGTGGCATTTGAAAGGACCGTTGTCGTCCTCGAAGTGCGATCGCGTGTGCACCTTGAGTCGCACCTTGTTCGTGAATTGTAAGTGGCAAATGTCGCACTCGTGTCGCGCTCCAAACAAGAGTGTCTTCGAATTGTGCCAGCTCATGTGGCATTTCAAAGACGACTCGGAATCGCACACTTTGTTGCAGGTCTTGCAAGTGTACGTTCCGTCGAATAGAGTCCGGTCGGCCGTGGCGGGTACGGCCGATCCGATGACGGTGTTGCTGGCGGATTCCCCGCGCTTGAAATGGATCGCCATATGGGACAGATACACCTTCCTATACTGAAAAACTCTTTTGCAGATGGCGCACTCGTAGTCTTTGGTCTTGAAGCGAGTTTGTTTGTGGTAATTCATGTGCATTTGAGCGGCGCGAAGATGTTTGCTCTTCCTGTTGCAGATGGGGCACGTTAAGTGCTTCGGATCCAAATCGGGGTCATTGTAATGTTCCCTCATATGAATTTTGTAGTGACATTGAAATCTGAATGCCTGTTGAGAAATTATTATTTTAGTTCATTGAATGTTTGACATAGGTTAGGAACGAACGAAAAAATAAACGATAAAAGAATTTACCTCTTTACAAACGAAGCACTCGATTTTTTTCTCCATATTCTTCCCGACGTTGGTGTGCCAGTTCATGTGGCGCTTCAGAGATATCAGAGTCGGCATGTCCTTGTTGCAAGTGGGGCAAGTGAAACCGTTAACCGTCGCGTAGGCGGAAGCCTCCCCGATATCGTTGTGACTCTGGATGTCATCCAGGGGTTCCGCCTTTGTCACAACGACCTCACAAAAATCCGCCAGATCCGGTAGGGACCCGATGACCTTCGGATTCGGCGCGGGCTGATTCAATCGATGCACCATTTTGATATGGTTCGCGAGTGCGCTACAACTCTTAAACTGCTGATCGGGACAATCTACGCAAGTGTAGAGGTTGCGCGGTTTTATGTTTGCTGAAATGTGTTTCTGGTTGTGTTCATTGATCACGCCCACCTTCATTTCGAGGTCACAAATCTGACAACGCACCAGACACTCTTTCAAACTTATCTTGGCCCTCTTGGTTCCCGAACTCATATTGTGTTTAAGTCTTTTATGGTTTAACAGAAGCCTTTTATAAGAAAACTGTTTTTCACAAATGTCGCAAGTGTTATCACCATCCTCTTCGTCATTACTCGATTCAAAATCTGAACAATCTTTGGAATCGTTTATTGTTTCTAGTAATAGGTCTGAAGTATTTTTATCTGGTGGTTCAGTTTTGAATATGACATCAGAATGTTTAACTGTATTGTGGGTTTCTAAGGCTTTTTTATATTTGAAACTTTTATCACAGATCCCACATTGAAAAGGTCCAGTTACAATTGTAGGACTAGTATACTCAGATTTCACAGATGTAGAATCATCCATAGTACTCCTGAAAATAATTTAAAGATATCAGCAGTTTCTCGATCAGATTATTACATATTAACCAAAGATTTCTCTAAGTAAGCTTATAAAGAAATAGTCCACTGTGATATATTTTACTAAAAAAGTAAATAATAATTAAAAATACCTCGATTCCTCGTCTCCCTCAATGACAGATTCGTCCATATTTGACATGTGAGCTGCTAAGTGCCTTATCAGAGACTCTTGATTAGGTAAACTCTTTTTACAGAAACGGCAAGTATACACTTTAGGAGGGGGGGACAAGGATGCTTTGACATTAGCGACAGGAAAAAAATGAGCTTTCACATGCAGAAAGTAACTAGATTTTTTTACAAAGGGCTTGTCACACACTGTGCAAATAAAGCTAAGTGAATCATCTCTTTTTGGACAAACTCTGAAATGTGCAGAGTGGGAGTAAAAATCATCAATTGGTTTACGACAATAAAAACATGGAATACTTATTTTTCCATGCTTGTTTCTATGTATAGTCGGGGAATCTGTATTAAGGACCGCCGCATGTACAACCCTCATGTGTTTTCCTAGGTTTTCTATTGTCTTGAATTTTGTGGAACACATTTGGCAATCGATTTTGTTATCTTGGCTAGGACTAGACACAGCATCAATTGGTTTTATTGATATCTTCAGTTCCTTGTCTATTAACTTGCCACATACTTCATAATGCCGCTTTAACATGATTTTTAGTTTAAATGTTTTTCCACATCTTTCACATTTCGATTTATCTTCATTATCATTAATGACATCAGATGTAACTGTGCCCACTGAATGTTCTGCTACTGCAGATTGGACATTGACCAGAGACGGGGCATTATTTTGTCTATCTCTACGGTTATGACACTTTTTATGGCACATCATGCTCAAGTAAGTTTTAAAAGCTTTGTTACAAATGTCACATTTGAACTCGAGCGGTTCATCAGAGTCTGTGCCACCTGAGTAAACTGATGCCTGATTGTCCTCATAATCAGAAATATCATCTTGCATCTTTCTATTTTTTTGTGACTTTCTCAGTTCCTTAACACGCTTAGAGCTGACCAGTTGATACTCCTGGGAAACACTGGTAATAGATGCATTGTCCATGCTTTCTCTACTTCTTTTACGTACTCTGCTTATGGGTGTAGCTTTGCTTTCAATTGAAGAACGTGGTTTGGAAGACTCTGTTTGAGAAGAGAAAGCTGAGTCACTGCTGTGTCTGTCAATTGGAGGTGGCGTTCCAGAGATAAATCCTAAAACAAATAGGTGATGAAAAGCAGCATGGATAGTTAATCTGAAGGTATGTTAAACTTAACATATGTCCATTAAAATCAATGACCGTGTCTGTGGAATAAAATTCAAAACACCTGGGATTAAGTAGCTTTGCTGATATTCATAATTTAGATAATATATTTTGGCTAAATAAATTAGCAAAATAATACCTGGTGGTGGTTCATAATTTCGACGAAGTTCTTGATCAGACCTTTCACACTGTTGTTTAAAAATGTGTGCACTACTTAGCTTCTGCACACATTCACTGCAAATTTTATCTGGAAGACCATCTCCCTCTTGAATCTGTGGATAAATTTATATTATTTTTATTATTCCTCATTAATATATAGGCACAGCCTAAAAAGCTAAATCGATATAATTATCTTAAATTCTAGATTCATATATTAAAAAACTTAAAAAAAACTCCAAGTGGCTTGTTTGACAAATACATGCTACTTGAGACTCCTTAAAACTACTGTAAATTAAGACTGCACTAAAACCAGAATAAATATGTAGTTTAGTAACCAGAGTGACTTAGAAATTGTTGAACATGAACATAAAACTTGGTTGCCCATTTTAATAATTTTAATGTAATGGAAAATCTGAATAAACGCAATAATCACGCATCTTATAAAAAAGCAGTTATCGTTGAAGAAGATGAGAAGGAAATTGAGTAATCGATGAAATACGATATTGCAGATTAGGTACGTTGTGCGGAAACTAAAAAATGGTCGGGTTCCATTAAATGGTATAACTTGACGTTTTTCAATGTCGCTCACTTTAACGCGTGCACATTCCATAACCATCTCAGAGAGCTGCAAGTTGTTGTCCACAGCAAAGATGGAATAAAAGTCACCAAGCTTGAGGCACAGCCTACATTTTCCAAGCTTGAGTGCCATATTGATTTGTTCACAATCCACATTTCAGTAAAGCGTCACATCTGTCGACAGAAAACATGTTTCACCATTAAATAAATTAATAACTTAAAACACTTCTAAAACTGCATCATGCAAAAGTGTTTCTACAGTTTCAATGATAACATTATTAAAAATTATGAAAATATCTACCTATCAAGCCGGTACTAGGTAGTTGGTAGGACGTTAGTGATCGCGAATCGCGATACTTTTTACAAATGTTGCCAGATTTTGATATCAAAGTAACCGATTTTTTTAATCTTCCCAAAATATTGTAATTTTTTGTGATTTAAAATTACTGATCCGTGATCTTACTTTTGACAGAACACACACACAATAAAAAAAATCAAATCTATATATATGATATGTACTATAACTATGATGGCAGAAAATGCAGCAACACATTATTAATTTAAGATTAAATATAATTTTTTTGTCACTTTATTGTAATTATTAAAAATATATGTATTTATTTATTTTTATTTATTATAACTTTATTATTTATAACCCAAACTACACATACAAAAAGAGAAAACATCTTACGTACTAACTTATAAATAAAAGGCGGTCTTATCGCTAAACAGCGATCTCTTCCAGGCAACCTGAAGTACAGGAGAAAAGAAAAAGATTTATTAAGTGGGTAGGTGTAAGAAGTAACAAGCAAAAGAAAGGGTACATCGCAAAAGAATACATAGCACAGAGATAGTGGGGGAGAGAATAACTTAAGAGTTGGAAAGGTAAAACTTATAGAGTAAACTCTTAAAAGTACGGAGAGATTGAGCTTTTCTGATATCAGTGGGAAGAGAGTTCCAAAGGCGAATCGCTTTAACGGTAGCGGAATTATTAAAGAAAGATGTTTTATGCTTAAGAATAAATAAGAGGAGATTGTCAATAGAACGAAGACTTAAGTTGTGGGAACTCAAAAGAACGAATATCTCTTTTAGATAAGAGGGAGTTTTAGGATCGAAAAGAATACGGTAGAGGAGATGAAGAAGATGGGAATTCCGACGAGTTCGGATAGGGAGCCAGTTAAACTTTCTACGAAATTCAGAAACATGATCGTATTTGCGAAGGCCAAAAATGAAACGGATACACGTATTCTGAAGCCACTCAAGCTTATCAAGCTGAAGTTCAGTTAGATCAGTGAATGATAATGGGGAGTAATAGAGACTGAGAAGTAAAATTTTTGTAGGGATGGGAAGGAAGTTTTGCAAGCGTTTTAGGGAGTGTGAAGCGGCATACATTTTCTTGCTTAACTGGTTTAGATAAGGATGCCAGGACAGATTTTCAGATTTTCGTCAATAATTAGACCCAAGCTTTTGACAGAAGAAGTGAAAGGAATGATAGTACCGTCTACATATATAAATATAGGTATATATAATAACTTTTTTTTTAAAATCATTATAGCGTTATCAATTATAAGTACCGGCTATTTATCGATAATAATAAATCTATTTAAATTTTTTAGAGCCTTCCCTAATTCTTACCTGGTGTATGTTGGCAACATTGGTTTTTGCTTTTGTTAGATTGGTACCGCATTAAAGTAGGCGCCCGTTTCATACATTTACATGATACATCATTCTTATTTCTCACTTGTTAATGTGAGAGTCCCGCCTCTTGCTTGCTCAGTGGTTTATAAAAAAATGTCCAATTTGACAGTCCATCGTCGTTATTCTTAAGAATTAACTAGAAATTCTCGGCTGTTCTCCGCAATCAAGGCTTCAAGTGTTGTGAAATGTATTGAAAAAAATAATACGATCTAGTCATAATAATGTATTTAGTAGCTGGGTCTAATATTTTTGGCCAGTGGCTTAGTGATAACATATTTTTTGATAATTTTAGAATAATAAACGAATGTGAACTTCCTATACATTCTAAACTCACATGTATCTCTTGGTCCTACAACGTTTTTCAAACAGACAATAGGATTTTTATATCTGGTGAATATAATGCCAAAGGAAAGTTAAAAGAAGTTCCTATCCCTGAAAAATTAAACAAATCCAGGATCCTTTCTTTTGGAAATGACTATAATTTGATTTTAATAGGCAATAACTTAAAAGAAATATTTGTTTTCGATTTGAAAACTGGAGTGTGTAAAGGTGTTAGATGTGTAGATGTAGACAATACTAAAATGAAATCATCAATAGAGAAAGTGATTATGACCAATGATAGCTGCATATATTTAACTACAGCAGGTGATATCTTTAGTGGAGCATTACCCATGCACCTAGATACTAGTGCATGTCTCGGGAAAGTTGTGGATGTTGCTTTGGGGTATGAACATAAAATCCTACTTACTGATGAGGGAGTAGTGTATACCTGGGGAAATGGCAGGTCTGTTGGAATTTGTACAATCATTTTTTAATATCTACTAGTATTTTGTATCTTCACCTGTAAGTAAAAAAAAATATATAGGATCCTTTTAATAGATTTATTGTTTTTAGGAGACTACAACTAGGTCATGGAAATTTAAATAACTTAGACATCCCAACAGTAGTTACAGCTTTATCTGGTGTAAAAATTATTAAAATAAGTGCTGGAGGGTGGCATTCTTGTGCCTTGAGTGACATTGGCGATTTATATGTATGGGGCTGGAATGATACTGGTCAATTAGGAGTAAAACTGACGACAATTGATAAAGGTGAACAAAGCTTTGGTATTCCTGTGTTGGTGGATTTATTTTGTGAAAATGGAGAAGAAGTACATACACATATAAAGGATGTGGCTTGTGGTAGCAGACATACAACTATTTTATTAGAAGATGGAACATTGTGGACTAGTGGCAGTAATAAATATGGGCAGTTGGGTTTTAGTGCTGAGACATTTGAAAAAGTTAACCATTTTAAGAAGGCATACCAGTGTTGTAAATCTTGTACATTACTGAGTGGTTTTTGGAACACTGTGATTGACACTAATTCTTGTAGGTGCTCACACTGGTGCGGATACGATAATGTTAAAGAAATGTTGTAGGTGAAACAATGGTACCGGACAAGACAGTGTTTTATAAAAGTATTTATTAATATAAAATATATACCTAAATGATTTTTTTTTACCACTAGATGGTATCACTGAAGTCTGAGCGAGGGGTGAATTACACACACACACCCCAAAATTAGACCGTCTTATCCATACCATTTATAATTTTTTATCCAAATAAATAATTTAATATTCAAGACTGTCTCAATACCTGATGATTACTTTGTTAATTATTGAAATCGGACATTCCATTCAAAAGCCGCGCATCGAGTAACTAACTCGACGAAAGGGACAGTGGGCTCCTTACGCAGTGGACGCGACCGACATTGAATATTTCGAGTTTTTTTTTTAATTTTTATGCTTCACTTAAAAAGTTCTTTTCAGAGCTACTTAGTTTTAGTATTAGGAATCACACTTTGCATAATATTTGCCAAAGTTCTTAGTTTCATAATATTTTCTTTTGAATTATTCTTAATTTCTCTGATTTAAAGTAAATACCTAAGAATAGTTCCCAAGCGAGATTAACAAAAGTTCGTCGTATTGGAGAGTCTTATTCTGAAAATGATTGTCTGAAACGTATTATGGCGTCTCTACACAGTTCGTCTTGCAGAACGAAATGCAAGATCGTCGTAGCTATACGAACGACAGTCAAGCGCCGAGCGCTCGCAGCGACTTGAAACTTGAAAGAAATAAAGCTAAGAATTCGCAAACGCGTGCACGGGACTCTAACACTAAACGCTCGCAGCGGCTCCTGACACAGCGAGCTAGATAACAAGAAGCTAGGACGCGCAATACATTTTTTTCTAATTTAGTGATTAATGGTCGTTTTAATTAGCATGCTTTTAATTTAAATATCTATACCTATTTATGTCTACCCGTGCGAAGCCGGGACGGGCCGCTGGTCTTATATAAAAATCTATACAATGTGTATGCCTTTAGTATCTGCATAATCTGTGTCCATACATGTTTTTTTATGTATCTGTAATATCAGCTGAATATTATAATAACAAAACATAAAATCGTCGATCAATAATAGGAATGAGTGAATATGTGAATTATCACCATAATATAAATAGCGGTTTATTGTTTAAGCTATTTTATCGTTTTCGGCACTTAATGATGTCAGACATAGTTTTCGCCAGTGCGCGTGAATACATAAAATATGCACGAAAGCTCGCAATGAGTGAATCTTACTCGAAGGCCTTCGACATGTACATTGCTGCATTTGAGAAGAACCCCGATTTGAAGGAGTATCACGGGCCTGAATTGCGGGCAGTCATGAGTAAACTTAATGACATTTTAGTATGCACTTCTAGAATAGACGACATTTTTAGCAACTTCTCTCGCGCCATTTCTATATTTCCCGGCGACATGTACCTGTTGAATGATGTTGGGAAATATCTTTATAAATTCGGTTACTATGCCGAGGCTTTTATTCAGTTCCAAAAGGCCCTGAAGGTGGACCCCGGATATGTAAATGCCGAGAAAAATTTAAATTCCGTCAAGAATATCCTTCTAGATAGATGGCATTATAGAATGCTCAACGACGTAATTCGAAATACAACCTATCGAGCTGCACTTCATGAAACCGTAAGGCCAGGAGACGACACCGTATTGGACGTCGGGTCAGGAACGGGGTTGCTTTCTCTCTATGCCCAGGAATGCAATCCCAAGTCTATTGCAGCATGCGATAGTTCTGAAGTAATGGCCAACATCTCAAATACTGTTTTACATTCGCATTCTGTCAAAGAATTTAAAGTGGTTAACCAAAATTCAGGAAGTATACTCTCTCCAGATATTGGCGGAAAATGTAGTATTTTAGTAACGGAGCTCTTTGATGCTGGATTGTTTGGAGAACACATTCTCACAACTCTATCATATGCTTGGAAGAATTTGCTTTGTGAAAATGCAAGAGTGTTGCCACAATCTGCAGAATTTTTTGTTGTTGGGGTTAATTGTAAAGAGCTTCTATCCAAATACCAATTGTGCCATAATGCAAAGGAGCTCCTTAAAATTATGCAGTACAATATTCATGCACACATGGAAGAGGAATCCTATGACTGTGAAGATATAAACAGTTTTGAGACATTAAAATTTATTACAGAAGATACAGCAGTCGTAAAGGTAGATTTCTGTGACAGCAACCATATAGAAGATAAATTGCACAATACAGAGCCGTATATTACACATCTGACTGTTACACAAGATGGTGAATTAACTAATTTTATTGGTTGGTTTAATTTAAACCTTAGTTCCACTTGCAGGCTCACTACCAATCCTCGATGTTGCACCAAAGCTAATGCATGGCAACAGGCAGTATTTTTTGACACTATATCTAGACCAGTGAAAGAAGGAGAGAAACTTGTGTGCAAGTTCTCTTTACAGTCTGGAAAAATATCTTTGTTATCTGATTCAAATATGGATATCATAAGAGTTTCTACAGACATGTTAAGGTTCTTAAATGACATGGAGTATGTAAAGAAAATAATGGACTGTCTAGGTCTTGCTTGCGTTTACTTAGGGCAACTAGCGGAAATGTCAGATATTACTATAGTTGACATGTGTCCCTTTCCGATATTTGGTCTGCAAATGCTCAAAAGGGGAATTAAATCTATAGTGTGTTGTCCCAAAATGGAGATGGACAAAACTTTTATGCACACAGTGTTTTTGGCAAACAATATAGATTCATCCAAAATCACATACTTAATGGAAGAAGATTGGAGTAAAGAAAATTTTGGGGATGAAAAGTATCACGCAATTTTTTGCAACATATTGGAATTAGCAGGAGATATTGCTATACATTATAAGGAAATGGGTCTTAATCTTAAACAAACGAGTCTGCATTCTGGGGGTCTCTTTTTACCTACTAAAACTTCTATCATCGCTCAGATAGCTAAATGTAATTACCTGGATACTAATAACAGATTAGATGACAAAAATGTTAGCAACTATAAGATCGCTCGTCACCTAAATAAATACCAAGCATCACAGAACTTTTTCATCGATCTATCTCGCCTAGAGTATACTCCGCTTTCAGAACCCGTGAATTTAGGTGAATGTATGGAGATGTTACCGGAAGTTATAAATGTACCGATCACTAAAACAGACGATGCTAACTGTATATTGTGTTGGTATGAAATTGAGTTGATGGAAAATATGGCAGAAATATCTACTAAAAGGCCATGTAGCTTTATAGATGCGACAATATTTTTAGCTGACCCTCATATATTTATGAAGCAAGGTCGTACTGCAAATATCTTGCATTGTGTAGACTCTGATGGGTCATTTAAATTAATGCTAGATGTAGAAGCTATGTGAAGTGATTTATTATCGGTACTATTGTTTAACAAAATATAAATGTTTGTGTGATAAGATGTTAACATGATAAGACACAAAATTACATGTGCTAGATGTTTTTTTGTTTGTTCAGTAGGTGAATTAGGTGTCTCATACTTAAAAATTAAATTAATTGAAATAATTGCAAAACTTAAGTCTACTATTTATAGTCTTGACTGTATGTTACATACATAAAGCTAATTTAAATACTAGTGTGTAGGTTCAAACAATAAATAAAGCTTTATTTTGAATAAATCATGAATTAATCCTGAATTTGTTTTTTACTGTTGCGAAGTGACAAATCATGCGTGGAGGAATGAACAAATAAATATTCTTTTGCGCTGGCACCGTGTCATTCCGCCGCTTTTGCCTCTGCCAGTACGGCTCTTGCCTGCTCTAATGCCTTTCTGTAAGAAGATCGTTTATAAATAAATATACACATCTTTTTACATTGTAGTAGTGTACTGTACACAATACAAATTAATCTTAGAAACTGATATGACTTCTTTTTTTAAAGAAGTTCGCATACAGCAACGCTATTGAACATGAAATTTCCAGTCAGTGTACTTACAAGTGCAGCGGATTGTCCGCTTGCAAGCGCGTTAGCGCCAGTTGTGCAAGTTTGGCGAGTCTCCTGAGGGCCATCGCTCGCAGAGCACCAGTTCGCGGGAGAGTATTTGCCAGCGCCGCAGCCGCCGAGCTCATTTGAGGCCCGGGGGCCGCTCCCGCCCCACAACACAGCGTCTCTGAAATTATCAACGTACATAAACCCAGCGAAATAGCATAGGAGAACTGTGAGACAAGTATATAGAGGTAAGTGTCAATTCGCAAACTGCGGTTTCCGAATATCGGATGTAATGCGAGTACCGAATTGGGGCTACTACATCATACGAAAATGAACATCAACCCACCGATAAGAGCCATCGCCAGATGATCCCCGTTCAGTATTTCCGGCGGCGAACAGAGGCACAGGGCGGCGCGCAGCAGGCGTATGCCGGCCCCGAGACAACGTTTCCAGAAGGCGCCGCCAGAATTATCGGCCAACCTGCACACGAAATCGTAATTGTTTATTTTATCATTAGGCTGGAAATGGTAGGAAGGGTCGAGAAACACAATTTACTGGGGCGCAGGCGGTAGAAAGACGTCTGCAGCGAGCGAACCGGCGAGACGCGAGGCCACGGTTCCCGCCAATCTCTCCAGCGAAGACGGCGCGGGCAGAGATGCCGCCCGCAGCAGTAAGTTGCGCAGACGAATGCACGCGCGGACGGACATCGGGTCCCACGCGCTGTCGACCAGTTCTGTAGGGACGAGATTAACATTACTGTCGTGTCCTAATGCTCGTACCCGATATTGAGCAACCGTTTGCACCTCGGCGTGTCGGTTACCTGTAATTTTGGGTAGGACGACCTTATCGACGATCGTAGGAACCAGCATGAGATCCACGTCTTCTCTCACGCCGCTCTCGGAGAGCCGAAGGGACTCGCCAGAGAATTCCTCGTCTGAAGAGGACTCGTCTGGACCTTCCGACACATTTTCGGGCTGGACTCCATACATCATCAGACATCTGAAATATACAAATAATTGAGTACCGGTTTCTTAAAGCCCACAGAAAAGCATGTGTAATTTAATTAAGACATGCTCACTTGTACCAGTCCATTTTTTCATAGTCCTCGTTATCTTCATCTGCCAGCGGATTCCAGAGGATTAACTAAAAAAAGTAATATTATATTTAGACGTCTTCCGTGAAGGCCCAATTGCGTAGCGTGATTAGCGCTACAGAAAAGTTGTAAGTACCTCGTGCCGCACGTAAGGCGCCAGCAGCCTCGGCAGACAATCGGCGATGTACGCGTCGCCGTACAACGTGGCGTGCTTTCGCCTCCACCTCGCCATCTTGTTGCACACTCCGCGCACGTTACGCCACGCCGGCAGCGCATCCGCGAACAGCGACGACGAAAGCTGCCGTATGGCGTCTGAAAGTTATCGTTCGCTATTTACGAATGGAAATTGGAGTCTCAGTCGCGCACGTCTTTATAGACACTTTTTTTTACTTCGTGGGCTTTGACACTGCACATAACCATACCGATTTCGTGTTGCACGTGTAAGAGTTCTTTCGGCGGTAGTTCGTCGTCACTGGAGTCCCCGTCGCGATGTAGGTGCGAGGTGGACGCGGCCTCTCGCTTCAATCGACGCGCGCGGCGCCTGCCTTCCCGCTCTGCGCACCGACGACGTTTCTCTTCAGAGTCGGCCGGTTTGATGGAGCCCGCGCGAGCTGCAATTTTTACCACATTTCTCGAAAAATGCAAAATATCTTTTAGGCTACTCTTTACTTCAAAACTTTGAGCTGAGCCTTTTACCGACTAATGCGAGCACGTCTTGCGCCTGGTCGCGAACGTCAGCCCGGCGTCGCTCCATCAGGAACTCACAGCGGCGCTTGTGCAGCATCAGCGCTCGAGCCTCCAACGTTTCCAGTTGCGGCATCTGAAAGGAAGGTAAATGGTGGTTTTTCAGAAGGTTCCACAATTCCTACTCGATAATAATGTACGGACCTTTTCGTCGAGGCATTCGATGAGGTCTGTGAGGTACCCGCGCACGGCCTGCGCTCGTTTGTACGCCGCGTCTAGGTCCCGACACTGAGCAGACCTAGACTCCCTTATCCTCGCGGCTGTCAAAAGTCTCTCCCGACACGCTTCCCTTTTATTTATGGTTTCCTGGCGGTCTGTGTGCAGTTCGCTCAACCTGGTTCCATACAAAAGACACTGTAGATATCTCGGTGACCTCACCTTTTACTTGTAACAAATTGCGATAGAAAATTTGTAAAATGTAAATTCCACATTATCGTGATTGTTTAAGTATATTTTAAGTTGTATACTGTATTCATTATTGATATTTGAATTCAGAAGCAATATCAACCTTAACGATTGCTTTAACATAGAGAAATGGATGAATACAATTAGGATAAATAACAATTAAAGCTAAGGTTAGTTAAGTTAGAGTGTGTGTACCAGTGTGCTTTGTTTAGACATGCCTCAATTAAAATATGAAGTTACCTTTTCTGTAGAGCAAGTATTAATTCCTGCGCTGTGGCTGGAGGTGGTCCAGTTGGAGAAACAAGTGCTCTCAAGTGCTGTGGAGCCTCTAATCGAGGGGGTGGCGGCACTAAGGAAAATGGGTTTATATCTGAAGGCAATTCACCTAAAATAAAAAAGGTAATTTGTTAAAATTGCAGGGTGTAAAAAGGTAAAAATTAAAGAGGGTCCACTTGTGTTCATTTTATAAGGTGATCCTTCTAATGTTAGGGAAGGTGTCATTATCTGTGTGTGTCAATCATCATATGAAAAAGTGTGTAGTGCACCTGTAAAATCTGATATAGAAGAGACAGCTTTTTGCATTTGCTGTTCTTCCCACTCTTCAGTTTCACTATTCATTTCCTCTTCAGATTGAGTTGCTGTAGTTCCACCTAGAAAAGCAAAAATAATGATACAGGCAACAAATGGTTTGATTTATTTATTTATTTAGGAACTTATTATCTTACGTTTAGGTTTATCGCTTGGTAAATCCAATCCTCTGACTTGAATCCTGCCTTCTTCTTCGTCGTCGTCATCATCATCTTCGTGGATTAATCTTGACCCTGGTTTCTGCTCAGGCTTGATCGGAATGAAGTCACCAAGTTCACGAGCCTAACAAAACAATAATCCTTGCTGGTGATTTGGTACATACAGTTTGGATTGAAGCAACATGGCATAGTTTTAGTTTGTTTCTTTTAAAGGTATTTGCAGTTATAACTTTTATATTTTTGGGAAATAAAGCACTATCCTAATGAGGCAACAAGGAGGTAGAGATATTTTGAAGAAACCCCTCTATAAGCCATGTCCTAATTGCATTCAACCCAAACTTAATAAATGATTCATGTTGTAATGATAATTATTTTAAAACTGTCAAAACAACCCTATTTTGATGCTCAGAGTAAAGCAAGTTTGTAGTAATCGTGAAATCTGTTTGGATCACATCTTGTGATCCTTATCTGAAATGGCAAAAATGTAGTTAGTTGTCGACTCCAATATGGCCACCTCCGAGTCCCTCACCTCTCATACCTGCTGTCGTGTCTTGCGGGCCGCGTGGATGAGGGCAGCGTCGGGGATATGCCCCGCTCCAGCCAGCGCCGCTCGGACTGATTCCGCGCGGAACTGGTGGAACCCTCTACTATCCTCATCTTCAATACAGCTTTCGTCTGAAATATCTCCAGCACCATCTGCAGCTACGGCCTCCCGTCCAGAAAGAATCATGCCTTCTAGGGAGGGTTTCTTCTTTTTTTTTTGCTCATATTTATCTTCTAATTCGACATCCTACATAATTTAAAGTAAAAATGTAAACTGCACTACCAGTGGGTATAATATAGCAAATTCTTAAAAGAAAGAAGGAAGGAGTTATAACAATATAAGTAACAATTAGTCAATAATTAGACAATATACTATTACACTAATTATAGTTTTACAGTTATTTCAAATTGTCACAAAGCCAATATTTACTAATACAACACGTTGACACAGCTTTTTCTAATCAACAATAAAATTTGTTAAAATGATGAAGTTGTTTTTTGTTGTAATAATACATATATCATTCAGTTTGTAGTTGTGGTGTCATCACAAAGTATTATTTTTTTTACCTCTTGGACATTATTTTCCACTTTATAGTATTCATCATCTGGCTGTAAACGCTTTTCTTTTTCTCTGCGCTTTGCTAACCGTTTGCTTTGTGATGATTTCTTTACCTTAAAAACCTCACCATCTTCCTCTGAAATAAAGTTAAATGATAATTTGATTAACTTTTTAATTAATTACCAACTTTAACTGATAAGTTAGTAGCCTAGTTAAATGAGGTTATAGTGCAGGTGGCAGTCTGAATTTTAGTCAAACCTTCATCCGCAAAACTTAACAATGTTTTGCTTTTTACGAGCTTATTCTCCTTCTTTTGACTTATTGTTGGAGGTGGCGGTGGTTCTGGATCGACGTCTTCATCATCATCAACACAAAACACGCGTCGTTGTATCTTTTTAGGTTTTCGGAATAAAGACATCTTATTTAGATGACACAATTCAACTAAGTTTATGTTTAAACAGTTAAACAATTTTATATACACGGATGGCTCTGTTCGAATTACACATTTTGATGTTTCACTTCGTAAAAGAAAATAATTATAAATTATAATCCAAAACTCAAAAGCACAGAAGTATGAACTATGAACCAAAGAATATACTACATAAACTAAAAAACATAGAACGGCAACTCACTACATCTGGTGATCCACAGATGTAGTGAGTTGAAAATAGTCAGAAGCCATTTACCCGTGTATATATAATATTAAACTATTTTTGGTGCTAAACAGAACACATTTTATTGCGAATAAGTATTAAAGAAAACAATTTCCTCTTTTTGAAGACTTTTAGTACAAAATGTTATATTTTCTTTATATATAAAAATATAAGTACTTGCTTTATGGTTTGTTTGTCAAACTTTTTTTTTTTCATTTGTGGCAAGAAGAATTAACTATTTGCCTTAAAACTTGTCAAATTTATAGCATGTCAAAGATAAGGTAATTGTCATTCTTCTATTTGTCCGAACGCACTAGGTTAGTGCGTTTAGTTTTTGGTCTTGGTAAGAATTTTATATTAATCTTAATTTATTATTGTAATCTTAAGTATGATTCGTTCTTAACTTTTTAGAAGCCATAGTTATGGATAATTTGTATTATATTTCATAAGATTTTTAGGTGTAGTGCACGTCAAATATTTTTCTAACACAAAACGATTGATAAAATTATTTTCAGTCCTTAAATTTCTTGGAAGTCCCTACACACAATCAAGATGGGTAGGGAGGACAAGGCTTCGTGGAAGTCCAATTATTTCACCAAAATTATTGTAAGTGTTGGCATCTAAGGCATGTGGTACGTTATGACCTACTGTACCAATACTGACAAGTTTGAATTATTTTCAGCAACTTTTGGATGAGTATCCCAAATGTTTCATCGTGGGCGCAGACAATGTCGGTTCAACACAAATGCAACAGATCCGCATCTCATTGCGTGGGCACAGCATTGTACTCATGGGTAAAAACACCATGATGCGTAAAGCTATCAAAGATCACTTGGAAGCAAATCCTGCACTTGAACAACTTTTACCCCACATCAAGGGAAACGTTGGGTTTGTGTTCACTCGTGGAGATCTTGTAGAGGTATGTCCTTTCATACAAATTTTACTTTAGTGGATAATATCAAATAGGATGTCTGTCCTAATACCAGGATGACTACGAAGTCATTCTGGCTTCGCTTTCAGACTAGAGTATTTCTTCAATTCTATCCTAGTGTGAATCATTGCTTATGTTTTTTGCACTGGCAATTTGAAGAAACAAATTATTTGAAAAATGTTGTTTAAGAAGTGTTGGAAACAGTTGAATATTATGTAGGTGCGTGACAAGCTGTTAGAGAACAAGGTTCGTGCCCCAGCAAGGCCTGGTGCAATTGCTCCACTAGAGGTTATCATCCCAGCCCATAACACTGGTTTGGGTCCCGAAAAGACTGCCTTCTTCCAGGCCCTCTCTATCCCTACCAAGATTTCCAAGGGTAAGCATTACTTGATAAAATTGTCATTCAAAACCTTTCTATGTGGTCTGTCCTAATACCGGGATAACAATTTGGTTATTCTGGCTTCGCTTTCAGACAAGATAAACTCTTTAACTCTATCCTAGTGCAAAAATTACTACGATATTTACTGCACTGGCAATTTAGAGATACATTTTTTTTTTAATTTCAGTTACTTTTTCAGGCGTGTTAACTCTTTAATTTAATGTGCTCTTTTATTTACAGGTACCATTGAAATTATCAATGATGTCCATATTTTAAAGCCGGGTGACAAGGTCGGTGCTTCTGAAGCTACTCTTCTTAACATGTTGAACATCTCTCCATTTTCTTATGGTCTTGTGGTTAAACAGGTTTGTACGAAAGTGTTGTTTTATTGCTGTATGTGCAATTTTTTGTATCAACTACCAAAGTGTTGAGTACAATTGGCATGACATGTGCTAATTGAGAATTAGCCTTTGGGAAAGAAATAGCATGTCACTCCATCTCTATTATCAGTTTATTCTGAATATTGAGTACACATGCTCACAGATGACTTGGAAAACTAAATGCCTCTGCCTATAAATGAGTTCTAATTTTGCACATAGAGTAGTACATAGATGTTTCTTTTGTGGTCAGGTCTATGACTCTGGGACCATCTTTGCTCCGTCTATTCTGGACATTAAGCCGGAGGATCTCCGAGCCAAATTCATGGAAGGAGTCGCAAATGTAGCTGCTGTTTCTTTATCCATTGGCTACCCGACTGTGGCATCTGCACCACACTCTATTGCTAATGGATTCAAGAACCTGCTTGCTATTGCTGCAGTTACAGATGTCGAGTTTAAAGAAGCCACAACTATTAAAGAATATATCAAGGTAGGTTTATTTGTTACTAAATATGTATTCCTCCATTGTTTTACTTGGGTTTTTAGAGCTGCCAATGACTGCGCCTGCCATACTGCTTCTATACTTTCTGGCTTTTCTAGTATTTTTGACAATTTGACAGTTAGTGCGAGGCTGGATATTATGAAGTTATGTCGACTGTCTGAAAAAGAATTCTTATTGTTGTCATTTATCATTGCCAGGACCCAAGTAAGTTCGCAGCTGCGGCCGTGGCGGCTGCCCCCGCCTCCGCTGCAGCTCCGGCTGACAAGAAAGAAGAAGCCAAGAAACCAGAAAAGGAGGAGTCTGAAAGTGACGACGACATGGGCTTCGGTCTCTTTGACTAATCTGTTCCGAAATGCCGTCGCTGAGAACATCTGTGGCTATTCAGCCATTGTTTGCGCCGCCGGGTTGGACTCCCTCATGGCGGCCTACAATGCTTGATTAAAGCTACTCTGCCTTATTTTGGTGTTTCATTTTTGTGTGGTCCTACTGCAACTATTTTGCTTTAATTCTTTAAACTATGTGTTTGGGTAACAGGCACTTGTTTTATTTCTGAAGATATACCTCAAGAAAACGCGATCGACTGAAATAGAGCAATATATATAATATAAAGATACTTGGACTACGTTATTTAAGAATTCAAGTGTTTTGTGACGTCTGAACTCCAGAAGACTTAGCCTGTAGCGTTTATATTTAAATAAAACAATGTTTCGTGTCTAACGATTTATTTTCTTTGGTTATATCCTAAGACTTAAATGGAAGTCAATAAATCAAAGCAAATAATATATCACAAGATCTGATTACAATACGAGCGAAAGAAAGGTAACCTTGGGAAAAGAATATATCTACCAAATTAATTTTCTTGTTAAATATTATAATAGACTACATAGATGTTAGTCAAGAGCAGCAGAGCCGGCGCCCAAGGTGCAGAACTTAAATATTCGCTGAGGACGCCTCGAAGGAAGAGCTTACGCTCAGTTTCTAAATGTAGTATGCCTGCCTTTGAAATGGATGAGTCCTACGCGACTTGCAACTAGCACCGCGCACGGTAGCTTCACTAAAGTTCTGGAAGCGGACTTCGGCCGTTTTGCTGGCTGTCCGCTGGCGAGTTGTGGTGCAGAATTTGGACTGGCCAGGTTAATTCCGAACCAAAGAAGCCATACCGATTATACAGGATATAATCCCTATTGAACCCTAAATGTTGTATAAATTTAAGACCAATGATACCGTGACCGGGCTGTGCCATTTAATAGTATGATCAAGAAATAAAAGAGAAGTAAAAAGTTAACCGTTTCCGTTTTACATCGGACTAAGAATTCTACGATTGGTTGTCATTATTCTCATCGGATAGTAATCGCTTACAAAACCATTTGCTAATTTCGAGGCGAAAGCACTAGAGACGGCGCTACAGCGCGTTCGTATCTCAACTCAATCAGTTGAACGTTCCGATTTTAATCGTTTAGCTAAAGACTTTTCCGTTTCGGATAATTCCCACACTTATGCATAATTTCAAAGCTATTCTGACCGATAATTGTTTAGCTTAATTTTATTATTTACAATAATTTCAGTCAAAATATAATCAATATCCGTATCTCTGCGATCTTTATCGGTGACGGCTCTAGTGACGGGATCGCACGTACCTTGTCGAAATAGTGTGGTATGGATCGGTTAGTAGTTCTTGAAGCCTAACTTGCCTAATCTAAAAATGAGAATCTCGATGATTGTGAACTTTCTGGCGGTGTACTGTACATAACGAAAAACTTATCACCGAATAAGAATTGTGAATCGCGTGCGCGGGACGATACGTACTTTTAGCGATTTTTATGCGAAAGCTAATGATTATGATTGAAATATGATTAATATTTTAAGCATCATCATTACTTAAGTCAAATTACTCAATATGCCGGTGGCTAAAGGTGACAACGGTCCATCCGACTCGATTCGAGCTCTGAGCCCTCCGTGCACTATTGAACGGAACAATGAGATTTCTTATTAAATGTCGTAACTAAGAATACCTTTTGTTTTACAGGTAAAAGGTTAATAATATTTGAAACAGTGCAAGCTTTCATAGTACGTTTCGCCGGCAACGCAGTCGCGGTTCAATGGGGCAGCAGTTAAAGCGGTGCCACGGTCAGACATATCGCACGTGTGAAATGTTCGCTCGCGCTAACTTGGCAGTCGGCCGGCGTTCATAAGTCCACGTATCGGCCGTCCGCGACGGGTCTCGCGGCGGGAAGGGCCGCCACACCTAGAGGCAACAAATCCGTTCAATCGTAATCGTAAATCGTAATGTAATAGTAACAAAGTACCACTAAACTGACCGATTTCAGAGTCCGCAGCGGCCTGGGCGGGGGGCGCTTCGGCCGAGCGCGATCTCCGATTCCGGCGCCTGCGCTGGCGTCGCGGCAGGAGCGGCTGCGTGTCTTCCGCTGGCTCGACTTCTACTGTACTGTGGATTCATCGTAGAAGTGTAAACAAATCGTGCGCAAGCCGAAAATAACTATTTAAATAATGACCGGTAACTCACACTTCGTTACTGTTAATTTGCTCATTGTCTTCGGCGAGCGGGGCTCGCTGCGATGCCACCTGCGATGAGATTAAACGTTTATTTTCTCGTTTTATACTCGGGCTGCGCCCTCGTCTATTATAGAAAGACGAATAATTTAAATAAATTTATTTAAATTATTAAATATTTATTATTATTTAAATTAATTTTAAATAATAAGATTGATGCCCCGAATATATTAAATAAAATCCAGTTTAATGTCCCAAGAAAAAGTTCAAGACTGAAACACTTAAAAGTATTTTATCGCCATACACCAAAAACTAACGTAGGTAGAAACCGTCCATTGTACCGTGTATGTGAGACCCTTAATAATGTCATGCGAGAAACCGACGCTGATCCTTACTTTGATTCTTTTACACGATTTAAAAATAAAGTATTGCGACTATAGACACTTTATTATAATTAAGTTGGAATTCTGTAATTTCGAAACACTAATTTTAAGTTAACAATGCTGTGTACATCAGTAATTGGGTCCTACATAGGTATCTTAACTTATTGTGATGTTAAGTATAATGAACTACATGTAAGTGATCTGTTGATGTACCATAATAAATAAATACCTCAGGGTCCGACCCGTCCTGCCGCCGGGCCCTCAGTCGGGCGATGTACCGCGCCGCCCTCACGAAGGGATTCTCGCGCTGCTCTTCGAACGTGCCGCTCTGCAGAGGTGGCGAACGACATGATTTAGACAAACTACTAATAATAACTAAAACATAGTGACTGAAAATGTATTTCGATTGCAAACATTACTTTCATTAACGCTTTACAGTGCTTTTATCGAACGCAAAGTGTGGGCTCGTCGCCTCGCTTCGCCTTCCGACCTGAATCTTGTACCTGAGTGTCGTTAGGACTCTGGGAGTCGCCGACGAGCGGCTCGGTCTCGTCGCTGTCGGAGTCAGAGTGGGGGCGGCGCCTCTCGCCCGCTGCGAACACTCGTCGCTTGCACACGGGGCACACGCGGCGGTTCTGGGTCAGCCACGGATCAATACACTTCGCGTGGTAGGCTGGCGATAAAAAAAAATGCAACAGGCCGCTTCGACTGGGGTTCTACTAGAAGTTTTCGTCGTCCGAGCCGGGATTCGAACCCGGCACATCTCGCGATCGTCCGGACGACGTCTGATAAGAGAGGTTCTCGTAATATTATTTCCCCGAGGGGCAGAAACTGTTAGGCAGTGTTTGGGTGTGTGGGTCAGTAGTCCTTCAATAGTTTTCCCTCACCGTGGGCGCAGGGCAGCACTCTCAGCCTCTCTCCTTCCTGGTAGTCGTCGAGGCAAATGGCGCACGTCTCGTACGGGTCGCCCTTGCTGAACTTGCACGTCGGGATCTTCTTGAGGGAGCGGTTCGGGAGACGGTGTCGCCTCGCTCGCCGGCGGTCCTTTATGCACTTGACTATCATGAACACTAGGATGACGACGAGGCACAGCACGACCACGATCGCGAAAGGCAGCAGCAAGTGCGTGTTGATGTTGAATGGCAAGTCGCCGTTCACCATTATGAAGTAGCTGGAAGAATGAGTCGAGACGTTTCAAAGAGACCCATTGAATCGACATGAAATGCGAATCGGCACTCACCGGTTCGTGTACACGTATTCCTCGGAGAGCAGGAGACCGTCGCGGTCGCTCACGAACACCGACGGGATGTCTATCCCCGCGGGGTCGTTCGCCGACATCGTCTCTGGGGGTGAAGACCACGATTTTTAACGCACCGCAACGATAATACGATTCCGGAGAGGGCGACGCTCGATAACGTCGACGGTCGCAATGATACACGTCAATTTAATAGATATAATAGTCAGATTCAGAAGATGCGCTCCGTCTCACGTGATCTTTCAAAATCGCTACAGATGCGGCTCTTTTAATCGATAGACTTGAAATTTTGACACTGGCAGTAGTGTACCTAGGTGGGCAAAGGCCCCGGTCTACCTAATCCTAAGGCTGAGGAAAGAATCGAGTCCTCATCCCCTCTTTTAGCATAGCTTGAATTAAATGAACCTCCAAAATTATAAATGGCAACAAGAACGTTAAAGATCCTTTTCTTCTACGCTTATATCCTCTCAAAGTAAGGTTAGAGGGCCCCTGGTTCCGGGGTCCTGGTGGACTACACCTCCTGGCCCTACGATAGCTACGCCGCTGGACACTGATTTAGACTGTGTAGAAATCTTAAAAAATTATAGGGTAAACTCACGCGCCGAGTGCATCGTTCCATCTCGGACGAATCGCGGGAGGTGCGAGGAGGGAAGCGTGCGCAGAGTTCGACTATAGTTATCGCCCCGCGACCGACGCGTAAACGTATTTTAATAGTATCGCACTCGTTTCTAAAACGGAGACATACCGAGTTCACTGGAGTTGACATTGTGCACGATCGCGCAGTCGAAGCCCGCCGCTTGCGCATTGCGGACCTTCACCTCGAAACTGCAGTTGTATCTGTGAAACAGAATGACGATCGCTTTAGTCGACTCGGAAGTACCGGCGATCGGACGGAGAGCAATTAGACAGATGAGACACCTCGCGACGAGCACTATCCATTTGCCCGTGAAGTTGACTTCGACGGGCGGCTTCGTCATGGCGCCGCAGCCGTCGGCCGGCTCCCCCGACACGAGGAACCCGCGCAGGCCGTCCGGGGGAAGGTCGGGCCCGAAGCTCGCGGGCATGTCGCGGAACTCGTCGGCTATCTGCAAACGCATCAGACTGATTTCACACGCCGCGGGTCGAATGAGTACCTACCGCGCTCGAAATGCTTAACGTCGGCGTCACTCACGAAATGCTGGAGGCCGACGATGTGCAGCACTTTGATCGCGTTCACTGCGAGGTGCATGTTGCGGTTGGTTAAACGCGTTTACATTCTCGTTTCGACGGCTGACCTTTTTCAGCCGATTCCGCTTTTGCTAGGCCCGAGCGCGGTCGCCCTCTTCATATATTTGAAGGACGAATCGACATCGACAGGTGTCGGACTGCGCGTCGCCGCGTCCTGATACCCGTTCAACTATCGGTTATCGGCGAACGGCCCTCGCTTAATACGGTCAATAATGAAAATGTTTAGCGATAACAAAGTGCGTCGAGATAAAAAATAATAAGTTAGTGTTACTTATAACTGCATTTATACGATTAAACTCGTCACACTCTGGCCACCGCCTTCCCGCGACTGCGAGAAGTTCCGTGTTCTTCCATTGGGAATATGCCCTCGCCGATAGATAAGGTTGACCGATAACACGAATATGTTCGTAATTATACATTGTGTGTTAATGGGTAATATATTTAAGTCGGTCGAAAACCAAACTCTGCTTCCAACGCCATCTAGTGGAATGACAACCGAATACAGTCGTAGTGGCGAGGTATAGAGCACACAAATGCACCTATAATGAGATTGCTTAAAATAGCGACGATAATAAGTGCATCCGTAAATTTATGAAACGCGTATACACTAATTACGACTAGAAACATTACCAAACGTACAACACAATAGGAAGTGTTGAATATACAAAGTTACAGTTAGTAGTAACAATCTTCCCGCTGGATGCTCACAATTCGCATACAATTAGTTCACTGATTACATTATTATGTTGTTTTTATTATAGTATGATTACATACCGTGTGGGGTGGGTCCGATGTATAAATTACAATATTCCCCCTGACATAAGTCAGGAAGCCGAGAAAGCCTATGAGGCAATTGTTGATCCACGTCTGCATATTTATTTTTTCATTACATCTACTGCTCAGTTTTGAGATGTTCTGATAGATTTCTCCCGACTTTTGAATCCTCTCTCATCGTTCTATGGTTCTGAAAATTTTAATACTTAGAAAAATAGATATTTCTGAGAAAACTATAGCAACATGACATGCCCTAACAATATTTTTACTAGATCATACAGGTTAGGTTAATAGTAATAAAACTAATATTGACAAATTATTATCCAAACACAAATGCTAATTTAGTCATGTCACTAATATAATAACAGATAGCAAACTGTACAGTAACATGGAAGTGTTTTATTAGCAATAATCAATTAACATGCCCCTAACAGCGACTAAAGTGTATAACAAGTGATGTGGTAATCAAAGAGCACTTCTAGATTGAGCCATTTTACAGCTGAACGTAGCATTAATAAATACTATTAATCTTATTATATGCAACAAAAGGTGAGAATGAATGCAATACACATGCACCCGTTTCACAGGCTTCTTTTTTCTAGGTCTCTATGTTTATCCCTGAGCGAGGCAAAGGTTACGGGCACCTCACATTCCAATAGGGATTAGTATCAATGCTGTACTATGTTATTCAATATTTCAATCCGTTTAAATGATTATTTTCTATTCAATTTAATCTTAACAATTGTGATAGAAATTTTTGTTGTTACTTGAGGCATGGTTTTGTTTAAATATTGTCCTCAATTTGGCTGAGTTATTTTCCCATAACCTCTGTGTGGAGCATTGCAGCAGGATTTGGTAAATGCACCAGAAGGGAAGGCGGACATACTTTTTTGCAATTAAATAAAGGTAACACTTTGAGATTGCAATAATAACAGTAACCTTTCAAGGTTAGTCATTTTGGGTTCCATTCGAGACCTGTATTTAAATGCCTATCTTACTTTATTATTTGTAAGTATAGAAGACAAGTTAACTATTCACTATAATATGTTATGAATTGATTTAATTTGTTTCTAATGAGGCCAATTTGTTGAACAAAGATCAATTATAGATGAATAACATACCTAGAGCCAGACCCCTGTACGTAATACAATGCGCTCGATGTAACCATTAAGAAATATTTACTAAATAATGTAAATAAGTCAATTTCTAGTGAATGTTGAATATTATTTTTCACACAATCACATGACATAAAACCAAACCACATCACCCATCAAAACATCTTAAAACACACAGATAAACACCGTAGTAATAATAATACTGATCGTATTCTTCACACATGAACGTGTTCTGCGAGTGATAACAAAGCAGTTTCGCAACAAAACTCAACATAACAACCATACTTTGCTAAGAAGCCAGTTTCCAATACATGCCACGGTAAGGCTCTAGCTTTAATCTAATTTAGCAGCGAGACACGTTGTATCGTTGTAATAGTAAACATTATCACGACAAGTTACTTTAATTATTCGAATACTTAAATTTTTCAAGGCAAACAGTCAACACTTACTGCAAGTATAAAGATTACTTCTTTGTTTTCCCTATGTCGTGTAGGTCTCAGTAAAAACTAATCCTTTTGCCAAAAACAGGGCAAAATTTGAAAATAAAAGCTGTAATTACGACTGATTTTAAATTACAGTAGGCAAGTATACAAACTTACTCCTAATTATAGTCATATATGTATTTGTCATAATAATTAATACCAGGGTGCTATGAAGAATCTTGATGCATTTGACGTTTCCAAAGCAAATGTCAGTCGTAGGTGTCATAACACAAAATATGACAAATCAGTTTTATCTCATGATTTAATACTGAGGAGTAGCGATATAAAATATATCTATATCATTATTGTAAATTATACGAAAACACCTTCTCTTATTTGCAATATTATAGCGATTTAAAAAATAAGTGAAGCCGATATTGCTGTTTTCGTCATGAATCAAATGCACTCCAATGTGGCCCCCAAATTATTCAATAATTAATAATATACACTAGTTCCAATCGTTTATTTTACTTTTAATAGACTAACATAAATTTTATTTTTGGCACAATATACATATTATATTAACGCACGCTCACCCCTTACATAGAGATGTGCACAAATAAATAATAATGCACGACCATAGATAACAACGACAGTTTGAATTAAAGCTATTGTAAAGCGTAAAATAAAATAGTAAAAAAAAGAACAACCGACTTAAAGCAGTAAACAAAAGAAATCGGGGCCAAGTAAAACAATAGAATTACAATTTTTAGAAACATTGTTGATGTATTTATGTGTATAGATTATTTTTCTACTTTTGAGTTACTTACATAATATAATAATCTTCAACGCTTTAAGTTTGAAAAACAATGTGATACAGACAGGATTTTAACTTCGATTGCCGGCCGTATTTTTTATTATAAATGGATTTAAGGTTTATTGATTACTACTACTAGCTGTGCCAGCGACTTCGCTTTCAGCTTTATATATTAGTATAGATATAGGTGAATCCTGAAACTATACTTAACTATACTATACTTAAACACTGTCTGTAGTTTGTAGCACAACATCAAGATCATTCGGTGAGTCCTTTACCTTATTTTTAAATGTCTACTGTCTACTGTGATAACCGTGTTATTGTTGTAATACTTGCCAAAATTCATCAGACCCGTATCCGCATAATGTCGCGAATGTTTTTAGACCATTTAAAGAGGAATAATTATTTTATACATCGCTTTGCTTACGTAACGGTAGTGCTCAAATATAAATTATTAAAAAAAAATCGAAAATAAACTGAAAAAATTTTCGACTCGGGCAGGACTTGAACCGGCATCGTCAGCTTTCCGCGCTGTTGCTCTACCAATTGAGCTACCGACTATAATTTAAAAATCGAAAATTTTTTCAATTTATTTTCGATTTTTAAATTATACAGTGCCTTCATGTGCAATAACATGTGAAAAATATTAATGTTTTCAAACATAAATATTTTTTCCATATTTTATACTGTTTTTTCGCTCCTAGGGGTCGCAGCGTTATATTATATAGCCTAAAGCCTTCCTTGAAAAACGTCTAACAGTAACAAAAACATATAGGAATCCAAACAAGTAGTTACTGCAATTAGCACGTCCAAAAAAACTGTTCAGCTGAATAAAAATTGTATATATTCAATTTCTTATTTCCAAACCCTTATAGATAATTATATGGGTGTACTTCCGAAAAGCGCATACCGCCGATCGATTTGAAATTTGGTATACTTATGTATTTTGACCTCCTAATCACGAATATCATAACGAAAATTGGCGCAAACGCCATTTTGAAAATGAAAATCGAAAAAAACCTCTTTTCGTTCAGTGTGCCTAATCACGCATTTCTAACCAATGTAGACTATTTGAGCTTTTCCCGAAAAGGGTGTGTGTATGTGTTTGTGTAACAATTTTTTACCCATAGCGATCCAAGTTCGTCAAAGCGTTGGAGGTTGCATGGCCGAATCAACCAACCTCTCAAACCAAGTACTTTCGGCTACTGTAGCATTGTGATTATATTTGCCTTTTTTTTGGCAAATAAATTGACCACAACCCAAACGGGACTCGCTTAAAGTCATATTTTTTTGTGTTTGTTACAATATCTGGAGGTTGGGATCAATTCTATGTCGATGATATTCGTGATTAGGAGGTCAAAATACATAAGTATACCAAATTTCAGATCGATCGGCGGTATGCGCTTTTCGGAAGTACACCCACGACATCAACACTGAGGGAGGTGAGGGTGGTATTCACCTCCACCCCGCTCCCCCCACTAACATATAATTGTCAGAATGGTAATGGTAGAACTATAGTAAAATTTGTATTTTATTCAATACACGAAATATAATAGAACAACTGCTGTTTCCCGCAGATTAAATAAGATCTTTGACAATTTAGTTGATTTTGTGATTTGGAAATTAGACTAGGATTTTTTTACGGTTCTGTATCTAAAGGATAAAAACGGGATCCTGTTACAAACATTTTGCAGTTAGTCACCAGGTACCTAGTATATCTTTACTAATATTATAAAGCTGAAGAGTTTGTTTGTTTGAATTGAAAAATTCTCATTTTGGTTAGAGCATTTATCGAAAAAGCCTCTAGGCTATAAAACATTAATAGGACACGCTGCATTCAATAGGTTTAAGGAAACGGAAGGAAATGTGAAAAAAAAAATGGGAAGATTTCTAATCTCCATATCCGCTGCGAAAACGGTTCAAAAAATATGTACAAAAGAATGATTCCTCTTTAATCGATATAAAACATTGTTCTCATGAACATGTGTCATTTAAGATTTACTCTTAACAATGACGGGAAGCCGACAAAGTTGCGGCAACAGCTAGTTAAGAAATAAAACTTTTGTGTATTTTTTTACGCGCTGTAATAACAAATACGATATAAAATTGACCAAAAACGTAATTTTTGCCTTGTTCTCGGTATCAGTACCTAGTCACTGATACGGAACCCTGCATGCCCAAGCCCTACTCCCACTTGGCCGTTATTCAATATTCAAATTATAATTTAGGAATATAAGTGTTAGTCCCGCGTTTTTATAGTTCATTGCTTGAGTTAGCATGGAGAAGGCAAGAACCAACTTCGTTATTTGGTGGGAGGGGATCAAAAGCCTTCCAGAAACGACCTCCATTCACGGCTTCAAATTTATTGCGGACTCCAAAAGGTCTTTGCTTGAGAGGTTTGTAATATATTCGATCAATATAACATTAACATTAACACGATTTTCAAATCAAATCAAATCGTTTAATCCACACACACACACATAAAATAATACACAAAAATTACTTAATGACAATAAATAATAATAATAGATGTATGTGGAGGGACCTCTGAAATTCCCCTGCTAGAAATTTTCTATATCTTGATTTAAAAATATTTAGAGAAGGGGCGTTTAGTTTATTCCAACATTTCAATCCATTTCAATTTACTGTATAAGTAGTAGGGAATATGGGAGACGGCGATGCCAAACAGCAGGGAAGCAAACTGTAGGCGCCTGCAGTTCTCCATATTTATTTTCCATTAGGTATTGTCTGTAGTATGTATAGTACATTTTTAAATAAAACACTTAACGGTTTAAAACGCGAAATAGATTAAATGTAAATAAATTTTAAATTAATTCTACTGTCCAACGTTTTGATGCTTTGCAGCAGTCGTGGTCACGGCACCCGAAGTTTACTAGTACAATTTTCGTTTCAAACCGTTAAAGATGTTTTATTTAAATATTTTTCAATCGCCTTTTTTTGACAGATGACAGACAAACTTGGGTTTTACTTAAAAAAGGTGAAATACCACAACAAATTACATGTAAACAAGATTTACGTGACCCGGACGGTAATTCGATAATATCGCTTATCTCTTTTAGTATGGTAATGTAAGCAATGTGAGTAATCTAACCGATGCATAAACGGGTCGTGGGTTCGGGTCTTAACATGTTTTTAAAATCAATTTGTCATTTTTCTAATACCTCTAACTTGGCTGGGCAAATCTGAACATTAGTGGTGGTAAGAATATCGAAACAGCGTGTTGATTTCAGTCTGTAGATTTTTGGATACGTTACATTTGTGGTTACGTACAGGTTACGTTGTGTTGTAACCTTACATCAAGTGAACTCTTAAGGGAGTCATAAAACGTAAGGTACTCGTACATGGGTTTCAATAAAACACGCATAACGTGAAACGTAGTTTAAAATAAATTTCAAGTACCTTGAATAATCTTTAGCATTTAAACCTCAACTGTTTTATTTAAATGTGTACATACTCGGTTCTGTTATCATTTTGTGACATTAGCAAACGTTAGTTCGTTTCGTTCGTTCTTCCTAAGTAAAGTATAGATTCATTCCGATCGTAAACCTCGTGTTTCAGATTGTTCTGGCTTACCTTCGTGTCGCTGTCCTGGTACTGCTCCTCTCTCCTCATAGCCGCTCAGTACCACTCCTTCGTCAACAATCCGATCTCCTTCGTCGTGGAGACCACGTACAAGGACTGGGCGACGTACTTCCCCGCCGTGGCCGTCTGCGAGAACGACAATGTGCCTCGGATCGAAGTAGTTTCTGATGGGTAAATGGCACTTTATTTGTATATTATAACTTATAACTAGCCGTGTCAGCGGCTTCGTCCGCGTAGAAATATTATAACTTGAAAAATAATAATTTTCCACGTTTCCTACTGTTCCTTTGTTGATTTATAGTAAAGCCTCACTCGACTCTAAGCTAAAATCTAAGCAGTAGTTCCTGAAACTCTTCAGCTTTGTAATATTAGGTATAGATATAGTTATTAACATTTACAGGTTATGGGGCAGCAACCACGACTTCAACATAGAAGAGGTCTTGAAAGAACTCGCGTACTACAAAGGCGTCGCCTATTATACGGCTGAGTTTTGCGATCCTAAGAGCCCGCTGCCCGAGTGTTTTAAAGACGATATCACCTACTATGCCAATCTGGTGAGACCATATATCTTTTATAGCAGACGATAGTCGAACGTGGGGTTCGAGTGATGGAATGATTGCTTGAAAGTAGATGGCGCTGTCGACTTTGCGTTATGTAATTCTACAGACTGAAAACAATATAATAGCTTATAACTCAAAATTATACAAAGAATGTAATCTCCTGACAGTCAGGCAACTGTATATTATATCAACAATCCGAAACATCTGAACAAACATCTTCCACACAACGAATAGACCTAATCCACACTCCGCTCAAACACACCTCTTTTGCCCAACGATTTATTTCCTTTAAAGGTCCCTTCCTCCTTGACTTATTTATTATTTAAATACTTGGCATATAATAACTTTGTAAGAAGCTACTAAGAGTTTCATTGTTTTCTCGAAATGCACCGGCGGCAACAAAACAGTTTAACTTAACAGGATAAAATTATATTGTGTGTTGCTAGTAGAATAGGATCTTACTCAGTTTACATAAGGTAGTTTATGTTAGCTAGCTTTGTTAACCTGAGACTGATTTTCAGTAAGTCCTTAAGAATGTGGACAGCGCCACCGACGTCAGTTTTTTGTAACGATAGCAAGTATGATTTTTACCGCCTCTTAAACGTGGAAATTGCTGTTTTAGTCCTCAAAGGGATGGTATACATATTATACTCCAACAGTTGGTGGCATTATAAGGGAAATAAAACGCATTGAACGGTTTAAAACGAGGAATATATTTGCCATTATTAATTTATTGTCACTATGGCCTGACGTCGCTCAAAATAGCGTAGTAGATTTAACTTTGCCATTACGAACACAATCTTTAGTTCCCCCCTTGACCACGTCTGTTGAATATATATTAGTTAGTGTTGTATTCAAATGTGTTAACTTTCGTATTTCGTGTTATGAACCGTTAAATTTGATGTATTCTTTTCTCTTAAACTACAGGTTCGCAGTAACTGTGAAGCGACCCTATCGAATTGTACGTGGAACGGAAATCTCTTCGATTGCTGTAAATATTTTCGATCGATTGACACGGAACTTGGGCTCTGCTTCGCGATAAACAGCATTCAGGGAAGGTGAGGCTCTAGCTTTTATGTTTGACCTTATATGCTCGAAATTTAGGTATTGCTCAAGAACTTTTATGAAAGAGCACAGACAAGTAATACGTTCACTAGATCTAATTTCGAATACCCTACGATTTAAATCAACTTTTAACGGTTTTAAACTCGAAATGTATTCATGTTTTAGGGATTGTGTAGTCATTTCAGCAAGATAATCAGCCGAGCTATTTTGTTTTGACCAATTAAGATGCTGCGCGCTTACTTCATTTCATCGGTATATAATACATATTTTGAAACGTACATCTTAATACAGACGCGAGCGGTCGAGAAACGTATTTTGAATAAGAAATTGCTGATAGCTTGATTGATATTTTTTCAATGGGTTAGAGTCCCGCCTGTTTTATTGTTTACTTGTTTAGTCTGAATATATTCCCTATCTTCTTAATTTTACATGTTTTTTTAGGGAAAGGACTCCGCCGAAATTGAACTTGGCAAACAACAGAACGACAGGCCGCGGCAGGCTGAGGTTCAACGTGTTGGTGCCAGCCAACGTGTATGTGCTGAACAAGGAAGAAGTGCCCTCCATCACCACGCCGGGGTCCGACGTGATGGACGTGGCGGCGGAAATACATCGCAAGTAAGTAGCATTACCTATACTAATTTATAAAACTGAAGAGTGTGTTTGTTTGTTTGAACGCGCTCTCTGCCACTACTATGGGGAATCTCTTTGTGTTAAATAGAGCTTAATAAAGCTAGCTATAATAAAATAAAAATGGCTGGGCCAGCGACTTCGTCCGCGTATTTGTTATTTTGGGTTTCCAAATTTGTTTTTGCACACCTCCTCCTCATCTTTAAAAAATATTACCCACGACTTCGTCCGTTGCGAATAAATTATAAAAGACATTTTTTTAGATCAATGCGATTTGTTCAAAAATGTTAAAATTTAACTAATTGTCCTTTCAGACGCCTAATATCTATCAAGGATATAGAAAACGACGCAGGCGCACGTCAAGTTTCCCCGGAAAAGCGGAAGTGCCGTTACACGGACGAGAACATTCTGGATGTGTACCGGCACTACTCGTACTCGGCATGTACGGTACAGTGCCGGAAACGGGCGCAACTACGGATTTGTAACTGTACCAATTTTAACATGCCGCGCGTCGCAGAGCATCTTAAGTGCAATATCAGTGGGGTTATATGTATTAATAATAATTGGAATGCTTTGTCGGTATGTATTATTTTATATGTGCATAAGTTAGGTCCGAGAATAAAACAATCTTAAGAATGTAGCTCTGTTCGCAAACTATTGACGTCTAAATAACTTGACCAGTTTTGATATTGTTTTGCTTTGAATTTGTGCCCTATTTAGGGCCCATTCATTGATTATCTAAAAAAGTTTTCGCTAGTTGACCCCTCCTCCAATTAAAATAAACACAAGTATAGGCTCTTTCCCCCGTTCAATTTGTTACGTAATCTAAAGGAAGAATAGTTTTACTAAGTAACAACTTAAGAAATGTTTTTTTTTTGTTTTTACAAAGGTGCTATTTTTTTGTTTGGTAACCTTTGCTTTTAGTCAATTATCTTAAAATGAAAACCCACTCGGTAATAATAATTTTAACATTGCGCTTTTGTGATCTTGCGTAAGAACTATAGTCCCGCTCCCTTGTAAGAAAATATAAGTCCTTGCCGACCCTCCTCCCACCTAAATCGTCTTATAGGTGGGCATGGGGCAACGGACATTCAGGAAAAGTAAGTTCACTGTAACATTATTGAATTTAAATATCCCGTCTCGTCATTTTTGCGAGTTGATCTCAAAAGATAAGACACATACGATCGGGGACATTGTTTTAGATTATTTAAAGAGGAATGCTAAATGCTCTTAAACATATTATTTGGTTTCTTGATCCATTTTCGCAGCGCACACAACACCCGGGAGCACTCAGATGCTAAACAGTCGTTTCTCCTAGGTGCTAAAAGCGCGCTGGTCGAGCAGGTCCGGTTTGTACTGTGACTGTCTTCCGTCGTGCACCGAGGCGGAGATATCTGTGGTGAAGGACTTCAAGACGTCCACTGACCAAGAGTACGCCGTGGTGGAGGTAGAACTGGCTTCTCTTCCGAGCGAGAGGTACAGGCGGAACGTGGTGCGCGGTCTCCTGGATCTAGTCGGTGAGTGTCAGTTGTGGTCTAATAACAGCAATAATCAACAGGACCTTTTTAAATGACAGAGGACAGACAACATGGGCATCACTTGATGGTTAGTAAAATATCCCAGCTCTATGACATCTCAAGATGCGCTGTCGACCCATTTTGGCTTTGGAAAGCTGGGCTATTTCATCCTCCATAACTCCACGCTTGTGTCCTTCTCTAACGTGAAAAACTTGTACTCTCACTAATGACCACAGTCTTGAGTTAAGGCTAAGTTGCAAGGTTAATTGGCGTTTCGGTTGCAGTCTGTCGATTTGAGATTCTTACGCTATCCTAAACACTTACTATTTTGGATTCCCACCGCGTTCAACAACACTTTCTAAAATCAATTCGTTCTATATCAGAAACACTTTGAGCGATAGGATTATATGTACTCGACTATGGTCACGAACCATTTTTTGTGGCATTTCATTTATTCATATTCATTATTTATACATTATTGTTTACATGTTATAAGGCTCGTTATTAGCACCGTGAGAGCCTCATGCTTGTCGTGTTTCAAAATGTTTCAGTGTCAACGGGAGGTACCGGTGGCTTGTTTCTCGGCGCGAGCCTGCTCAGCTTCGTGGAGTTGTTCTACATATTGTTAGTACGTCCCTTTTGTAACATATACTCACGTCGTTATAACGACCCTTGGCACAAAAAATATGGCTGCCGACTCAAAGGCAACATGATTTTTAAACGACGTTTGAAACGGTCGAAGCAGAGACCGAGGAAAATAAATTTAAGGTAAATTGAAATCTATTTCAATTGAAAATTGTGACATAGGCGGGACTCGAACCGGCCTCCACAGCGTGCCGTGCTGCTCTAACCGCTTGAATAATCGTGTCATGTAACTTTTAAACCTTAACACTTACGTATATTAACGTATTACTTATGCTTGTTATCGTTGATACGAGGGACGAATTTTTGTCGGAGGTGCGATTTCCACCTGTGTAATTTTTTATCGTTAAAATATTGTTCAAGAAACGTTACGTCGTACCTACGCTTACGGTTTATTACGGCGTACATAAAGCTACTTTCTCATACTATTTTTTATTATAAACTAATTCAATTTAAGTTTAAATTGTCGTACAGTATATCTACTTTAATTATATTTTAATATTAACATTTAAACTACTAAAAAAGAAGATTTCAATATGACATTTGTGTAGTTTGTTAATCCTACGGAACCCTTAGTTTAGACTACGAATGGCCGGTTTATTTAATTAATAATATTTAAATTATTGTCCTTGCTTATATATTTCAAATAGAGTAACGTTCACTTTAACGAGGTAAACTATACTTGTTATATTTCGCGTTTAAAGCCTGTAGTGTAAAACAGTTTAAGCGTATACACCCGAGTTTCGGGTACTCTGGTACTGGTCTGGACTGTTGTGTATAACAGTTTGGAAAGTATACGTAAATGTATTTGTAATATTCTCTAATATTAAAATTGTATAAGATAAATGCTAAGTTAAAGTTTAAGAGGGAGGCGAAGTAACCAACCCAATGAGTGCTTTTTGCGTGCGTTTTAATATAATTTACAAAAAGTGGGAAAGTAGGATGCTCACTAAGCTACCCTTGTAATATTTGCTTTTAATGTAAACACTTAAGTGTGAAAACATTGACTTAGATTTAGATTTATGCTAGCTATGCTATAAAATTATATTACAATAAAGATACAGTAAAATTGTACTAATTAAGTGTATATTTGTAGGTAGCTGTAACTTTTAATCAATAAATAGTCGTTCTTTGCATTGCGCGTTTGATTGATGTTTCGTTGGCGACGAGATCGGGAATTTCCATAATTTAGTGTTGTTGCGAGTTTAATAAATTAGCTGATCCAGCGACTGCGTTCGCATAGATTAGTTATTTCAGGCATCCAAATTCGTTTTTACCCACGACGTCAGTCGCATCCCTTCCCGTCGTTCTTGCATGATAATCTTAAGAGATACACATATAGCGTCGCGATAGGAGGATAGGATAGGAGGGGCAAGACTTATCCGATTGCCAAATTGGCTTTCGGAAGGGGCTGTCGTCAATGGACGTGATCGCGAGATTGCGCGATGTGTCGGACGGGACCGTGCCCTGATTCGATTCCTCCAAGTAAAAAAAAAAAGGTTAGGTTAGGTTAACTAACCGCTCGCTCGCGTCCGGCAAGTCTCCCGTGGGCTCTTGGAGGTTTAGTGGGTAGTGGTCAAGCTGGCTGACCCCCACACTCCCCCCGCCACTCGAGTGGCCAGGCGGGGTCATCGGTAAAGAGTCGATTTCTCCAAGTAAAAAAAAATGGTTAGGTTAGGTTCCCCCCCCACTGCACTTTGAGTATCTGGTGCAGCCCCAGGGCTTGTCGTCTGAGTTAGGGTGGTATCGGCTATGGCAAAGTTTGTTAACTTTGTTATGACCGGTGCGTGTCCTGCATACTCGGTGGTCGCTAACTGGGAGGCGGGTGATACTCTGCAATATGGTATATTGCTCTGTATGGCTTGGTACATCTTCGGCGTTCCTTGCCAACCACGTGTTTCGTGGTGGGTGGGGAAGACGAAGTTTTGTTATTACGCAGTGAAGCGCGAGGAAGGGAGTCCTATGGCGCGACCCGGAGCGCTTTTCGCCCTGGGTCAGGTATGCGAAGATATGGCACGGAGGGCCCTCGACGGCAAATGATACGTCTACACCGTCAGGGTCGGACCGTTTCACGTCTCCCGTCGGCGCCATGCACACAGCAGCGGCGGGCCGGGAATGGCTTATAGCCTCCGGTTAGGGGTCGTTACCCCCCCGTCGCCGCACCGACAAGTCGGCTTTTACCCCCACAAGTCGGCATAGCTGGGTTCCCACCCCGTCAGGTGCGGTGTGCAGCAGGGACGGGGTCCTGCGTTGCTTTCTGATCGGGGGTGTCAGCGTCATCGAGCGAGCTCTCGGTTAGGCGCGCATACGCTTCAAGCGATCGCGCCCGTCCTGCCCGAATGGCTGAGGACGAAGCGGTGGGTATCCCTGTCCTATCACGCGGTGCAAATTTTGTCGGGGCACGGATGCTTCGGCAAATACCTGCACGGGATCCGGCGGGAGGAAACAGTCTCCTGCCATCAAGGTGTGTTGCGCCTCAGACACGGCGCAACACACCTTGGAGGCATGCCCGGCCTGGGCGAGTCAGAGGACTGCCCTGGGCGGAGCATTCGGCGCGGATCTGTCCCTGCCAGCCATTGTGGCGGGGATAGTTAGGAGCGCGGACGACGCTCCGTGGCGGGCCTTTGAGGCCTTCTGCGCCGACGTCCTCTCGCGAAAGGAGGAAGCGGAGAGGGCGAGGGAGATTGCTCCCGACGCCCCCGCACTCCGACGGAGGAGACTTGGGCGGCGCCGGCGCGATTACGCCCGGCGTCCGCCGTGACCTCGGCCTCAGGACCGAGCTAGGAGGTGTAGCCATCAACTGGCCACGTACGGCGAGCCGCACGCGGGAAATACGCGCGGCAGGACACACGGGCGCGGGCATGCGGGTCAAGGGTAACTAACCGCTCGCTCGCGTCCGGCAAGTCTCCCGTGGGCTCTTGGAGGTTTAGTGGGTAGTGATCAGGCTAGCTGACCCCCACACTCCCCCCGCCACTCGAGTGGCCAGGCGGGAGCGTCGGTAAAGAGACGATTCCTCCAAGTAAAAAAAAAAGGTTAGGTTAGGTTAGGTTGAGGCGGTTGTGAACCGAGAGCGGTGCTTCGGCACGGAGGATGGCGGGCTAGTTATCCGCGAGGTGCGCTGACATAGGCAGCGCACCCCCAATCCCAAGTCTGTGGTGCCTGGCGAGGGGATGAATGGCTGGTGGGAAGTCCAGTCCTGGATGGTTTAGTGCGGTGTTGCTATAATTTCTTAAGAAAAATAAACGTTTAAAAATTGTGTTTAGCTGTGCAAAGTGATAGATATATCAAACCGAACTTTCTAAAACAGCTAAGCTTATTTATGTAGCTTTCTTCTCTAGAACTAAAATAAACTTACAGTTTAAGTTAAGATTTTTCTATAATACTAAAAAGCAACAAATTACATGATCTTTTGCTATATATTTTTATCAGGCTCTATAATTTCTAAAGAACAAAAATCGTTTAAAAATTGTGTTTAGCTGTGCAAAGTGATAGATATATCAAAACGAACATTCTAAACCAGCTAATCTTATTTATGTAGCTTTCTTCTCTAGAACTAAAATAAACTTAAGGTTTAAATTAAGATTTTTCTATACTACTAGAAATCCTCCGTGCTATTGCTCGGGGCAACGCTGACGATGCCGGTTCAAGTCCTGCTCGATTCGAAATTTATTTTCGACTTTTAAATTATACGGTGCCTTCATGTACAATAACATGTAAACAACATTAATGTTTTCCAAAGTTTGTTTGTTTGAACGCGCCTATCTCAGGAAGTTCGGGTTCGAATTAAAATTATTGTTGTGTTGGTTAGAGCAATTATCGAGGAAGATGCAGCGAGAAATGTGAATAAAACGGGGGACATTTCTCATCTCTCTAGGTTTCAGATGCGTACGCTGCGAAAACGGTTCAAGATACCTAAAAATTGTGTAAAAAAAGAATCATTCCCCGTTAAATGATATATGTCTTTATCTATATCTTTTAAGATTAACTGGCAAGAACGGCCCGAACGACGGGATGCGAATATCGTGGGCAACAGCTATATACACTAATATTATAAAGAGGAAATATTTGTTATTTGAATTCGAAAAGTTATATACATTTTTAAAGAACTAAGACACATCTCAGATATAAATATCATCAAAATGGTCTATTAGCAATAGTTCAGTCCGTAATTGGATACTGTGTTATTTCCTGGGGAGGGAGTGCAAACACTCACCTCATTGAACTAGAAAGAACGCAAAGATGTATCCTTAAAGTAGGCGCAAATCTTCCTTATCGTTCTCCTACAACTGAACTGTACAAAATGTGGGGTGTACTCACTGTGCGTCAATTATTTATCTTACAAATCATATTGAAGAAACATTGGTTTCACAAAATTGTTTTCAACAAGAGATTTGGTTCGCTCTGAACCAAATCTCCTAAAAAATTAACGAGGAAAATATAATGTCTGCCCATCAATCACCTACCGTACCTCACATTCCCAACACTTTTACTGTTATCTTGGCCCATTTCTCTATAATAAACTAAATTACAATCTTAAAATATATAGTCAAAACTTATATCTTTGTAAAAAAAATATCACAAACTTCTTAAAATCACTCAATTACACGGAGACTGAAAGGCTTCTCACCCCTATCAGCTAAAAAACGCAGAGGCTCTTCTAAGTTGTTACTCTAGGTACTAAGTTCTTTTCTATATTGTCCAAATAATTTAAATGCTCTGGGTCTAACCCCGGCGATCCTGGTCCTAAGTCGTCGAGATTGGGCTCTGGAGATCCGTCTCGGCACGGCGAGTCTTTTGGCTCCAATAGATTTCCTCATTTCCTCCCCCTTCCCCCTCCGAGATCTGATTCTGTGTCTGTAATCGGGAAAACAGGTGAGGTTGGGTTAGGTTAGGTTAGGTTACGTTAGTGTATTAAATCCCCCCCCCCGCAAAAAAGAAACCCCTCACCCCCTCAAAACCGAAAACCACCTCCTTAGTCCTAACAGCCCCGAGTTTGGGCTTAAACTGTTCGTCTTTAAGAAAGGAATATTTTGGCCCATCTAGTTTCCCCCCTCCCCCCTCTTTTTTCAAATTTTTTTCCAACATTTTTAAATTTTAGTAAATTATAAGTACTTCTATAATAATTTCAGCCACAATAATTTAATTTCCCTATTGCTCGGGATACCCCCTGCCCCTCTAAAAACAACACATTTTTTTTGAGCGCCATTCGCCTCCCCACGAAAGTTCCCCCCCCCCCACCCCCCTCAAATATTTTTTTTTACCTCACCCCCTCTGGGTCTAACTCCGGTGATCCTGGTCCTAAGTCGTCGAGATTGGGCTCTGGAGATCCGTCTCGGCACGGCGAGTCTTTTGGCTTCTATTGATTTCCTCATTTTCTCCCCCCTTCCCCCTCCGAGATCTCATTCTGTGTCTGTAATCGGGAAAACAGGTAAAGTTGGGTTAGGTTAGGTTAGGTTTTTTTTTTTTTTTTTTTTTAACTTTGGTTCTATGTTTGTTGAAAAATTGATACATTAAATTGATAGGAACTTCGTGGATGTTGCTATTTGATACAAACTTTCCACGAAGTTCCTTTAAACACTAGGATTTTATAAACTAATGATTCTATACATAATGAGTCGCTTAACCTAGTAGTAACATTAGTGAGAAGTTATTTTACAAAAATTTACAAATTATACAGAATTATTGAAAAGGAATACAATTTTATATATTTTTATATATTAGATGAAGTTATAATTATACAATGCAAAATTTTTAAAATTAGGTTACAAAAGTAAATTAACAGAAGATGATCCATGACTTAAAAGGAATATAATACTTAATTGATTCTAAATTTTTATTGTTTTATAAAGTTAGTTTGCTGAAGGCAGAATTATACAATATTAAATTTAGCTTATTTGCTATGTAAGGATATAGTGATAATTATGCAGTCTAAAAATTTAAAATGACTTTACAAAGCAAAAATAGTCTAAGAACTAAAAAGAATACAGTTCAGATTTTAATTACAGATTCTACGTTGGCGCCGCTTCAAGTAGCTTGAGCTATATTGTAAAAGGGATTGACCGCTGGGTGAGTGCGTGGGAGTTTTTTAAATAAGGTGTGTTGGTGTTTTTAACTTAATTATCGCGGGTATTTTGATTAAAGTTTTTTAAGTTGTTTATGATGTGTTTCACGAAATTTTCAAATGATTTAGAGGTAACATTCTTTTTTATTATTTGGGATATACTGTAAGGCTCGGTGTCCGCGTACCAGCAAAGCTCTTCATGGGCGTGTCGGGAGAGAGGGAAACGGGGGCATTGTCTTGTGAGATGGTCGAGGGTTTGAATGGAGTTATTGTCACAAGGACAGAAGGGGTCATCGGAAATGTGAAATCGGTGTAAATAATGTTTTGCATAAGAGTGGGCAGTTAGGAATTGCGTCATTTGGAACGAAACGGGAATGGCTTTAAAGAAGTTATCTATATCAGAGAGAAGAGGAAATATATTTTTGGTGTGAACCCCTTTATTTTCATTGGAATATCTGGTTTGGGAAGTTACTAATGTTTCGTCTTTAATCTTTTTCTTGATGTAAGAAATGGGGCATGAAATGAAGTCTGGTGCTTTATGAGCCTTTGCAGCCTTATTAGCGGCTTTATCTGCTGCTTCATTCCCTTCTACACCCGAGTGCCCCTTCACCCAGCTGAAGAGTATATTGTTGTGGGTGTGAGTGTACTGGATTTGGTGAAGTGTTTTGTGTGGTTAGGTTTTTTTTTTTTTTTTTTTTTCCTGCTAGGCCTACCCCCCCGGACGAAGTTATCTCCGGGCCGTGGAATATCGAAGCTAATGATTTTTCTTTATAAATGTTTAGTCATATTTGTCTTATTCTAACTTACAGGTTAATCATTTCTTTATTAATATATTTGTTCTCAAATTTCTTATTCTAGTTGTACAAGCTATTAATTTTCTTTATTAAAACATTTGTTTACAAATTTCTTATTCTAGAGATAACAATACAATTCTTATTACTATTTACTATTATTTCTACTAATTCACACACACATATATACATTAATTTATATACATATTTCTATTCTTTATTTATTCCGCTTTTTGCTTTACAAATTTCTTTTTCTTTACAATACAATACAAACAACGTTAAGTTTACTTATTACTATTCACTAATACTAGTTTTGCACACTAATTTATATACATACTTAAACCTTTTTATTTATTCCGTTTATTTGCTATTTTTAATATTTGCTTACAGAATTGTAGCAAAGGAGGCCTCATCCCGTCGTCCATCATGATTATTTTCAAGTTACTTTCTGTCAAGTCAATGTCAAGTCGGTTTTCTAGTTTGTGTCTTTCGAGGGCGTGGATTGGGCAGCGAATCAACAAATGGGGCACCGTTTCATCCTCGTCTCCACAGGCGCAAACGGGGCTGTCCTTACGTTTGAACCTGTGGAGATATGCGGCTAAACCACCATGCCCCATTAAAACCTGTGTTGTTTCGCCGTCCAATCCCACCCTTTTCATGATCCTAAAAGCGGCTGCAGCTGTTGGGAGGAAGATTTTCGTTGTTGAGGCTGTTTCTCCGTTTTGGTAATCCTCCTCCCAACGCTGCACCGTTTCTGTCCTAATTAGTCTTTTTATAGTAGAGATTGGGCAAAGGTCGTAGTCTGGCTTCTTTTTATTGTTTTGGGCGGCTTCCTTCGCTAGCAGGTCCGCCCTCTCATTCCCCTCGTGTCCAGCGTGAGCCTTTATCCAAAAGAGATTTATAGTTTTTAATTCACGCATTTTATTAATTTTACGCCTTATTTGGCTCGTGAGTGAATTGAGAGAACGGCCGCTAGTAATGTCCTCCAGTGCCGATCTGGCGTCGCTACAGACATTTATTGTCGGGCTCTTTTCCTTCTCCGCTAGCTCAAATGCTCTGTGCAGCGCCACCATCTCGGCCTGAAAGACACTACAGTAAGACGCTAATTTTATTTTTACTGATTTTTCGTCTGTCCTACTTCTGTAAATAACGACTGCCGCACCCACCCCATCATCAGATTTACTACCGTCAGTGAAGATATTTGTCACGTCTGTCTGTCTCTCTATGTTTAAGTCGGAGTCATACGTCGTGAATGTCAACAGGGGCTCATCCGCAGGGTGTGGTACTTCCAACGCGTCCGATCTGCCCTCTGGTTCTGCGTCTAGCTCTGGGAGGGGATGCAAGCCCCTCTTTATTTTGTACAGAACTCCCGCTTCCTCAATCCTCAAGTTTAGTGGAAGTAACCCAGTGAGGACTAATCCCGAGTGCAGCGAGACAGTTCTGTATGCTTTACAGTTTTTTTTT